TATTTAAATAACTAGATGCACATGGTAAATTGTATGAAAGTGCTGAAATCTAGGCTACGGTTTCCTTAAGTTCTGTTCGATAAGAATCAGCCTGGTATTGAGTCGCTACACAACCAACTGGTTGACGTTAGCTGCTGATGTATGTGTGAACTGAAGGACCAAATTCGGAATTCGCGAAATTAAGATCCCAGGTTTAGTAGTAGTCTAAAAACAATAATTGTAGAACGAATCCGGGAATTTGTAATATTATAAATCGGGAAGTGAGTTTGTTTGTTTGTTCCACCTTCACGCCGTAACTACTAGACCGATTGCTTTGAAATTTTGCAGACGTAAAGTTACTTTTTATCACGGAAAAAAATGATATTTCCTAGCAAAAACAAAAATATTGGTATAGATAGCGCTGTATGTACTGGTATAGATGGCGTTGTATTCCAATCCATTTCATTTAAAACCAGTCAACGAATTACCTACTTATTGGAAAAATGTAAATAGCTCGATATAACCGAATTCCACGCGAGCGGAAAGCTATTTGTTTATTTGCCTGTCTTAAACGGCAGAACGGAGGTACTAATTAACGTGATTTTTTAACTGAGGGTAGTTGGATGGATAGTAACGGATGGATAGTCACATAGGCTACTTTTTATCCTTTTGTGACGCGAGCGAAGCCGCGGGTAAAAGCTAGTTTGTAAATAAATATGTTAAAAATTACGACCCATAACATGTGGTCCATCAGTTCCTACACCCGGCCAGCCAGATTTTGGATTTTATCCTACCTATACCTTCTGGTTCTGGGATGGGATCCTGGGATCTTAATTTCGTGAATTCCGAGTTTGGTACCTCAGTTCACACATACATAGCTGCTGGACGTCGTCAGTCGTTCGCTGCGCACATATGCACACACACAGTTCATGATTATTAGTCCCGGTGTGACTTGAAAGTAATCAAGCTTTCTTTCGAAAAGAGGCCTTAGTACTCAGACCTACTAAGGCCAGTTCAGGTGTAGATACCGTATAATTGATTCAAAATAGTAAATCTATAAATGCCTAAAATGTAAAAGCATTGATAGAAGTTTGATAATCAATCACGCCGAGCATCAGGTCTCTGGCCCAATTCCGGGTCGAGAAGAGTATTCGCTGAGAATGTTCTGTTTTAGAAAATCCCATTATTAGACCAAGACTAGAATGGTGACCGGTATATGACAAAAGCATCACACTTCCATTATGAAATAAGGGAAAAGTGAGTGTGCTTGTATTGGTGGGTGTATCAATACAAGCACACTCACTTAACATTAACAGAAATTAACATTACGTAATTTATTTTTAGTTGTACCTGCAAAAGTGACACAGTGTGCAAGGTAGTCGAGAACGATACATCGGTAAATACATTTATACATCGTTGTCGGTCACCGTCTGTGGACGACGTGGAGGAGAGCTAGCGTGCCACCGCGCGGCGCCACATACTCCGACGTCGCTTAGTCTCCGGGCCCACCGCTCAATCACATGACGTGGTTGAACAATCACACACAACAACTCTCTACTGAGATACATATAACATACCCATTTGACTGCCTACACTTGCCAGCGTACTTAATAATGTCATGCAAGTTGCAGGTAAATGTACCCCTAAGGGATCCCCAATGACTGGTATACTATTCTACATAATTATAAGTTCTTTTTTGAAAACTTGCCCACTTTTTAAGGTGAGACACTGCAGGACCATAATCCCCTTTTGATACTGATATCTGACGATTTGGACATGTACACTTATGTAAAAATAATCAATTGAATATTATGATAATACATCCTTCTTCTGAAAAGTCCAGGGACTAGGGATCCAGGCTATTCATTGAATAATGTCACGGTTTTGTTAATTAGTTTGATTGAACATTAAGAAATATTGATCATGTAGTTACGTACCTAATTATCATCAACAACATATTGAACCCGCCTTAATTGTTTAAGTTTTATCTAATATAACTTTTCTCATTGAACTTAATTCATAATTACAAAAGTTTAAGCATAAAAATGAATCGACGTTTTACTGCTTTTCACATTTTTCAGTTACTTTCTAACTTGTGTATGACATAACAATAAAAGTACTTATTATTTGTAGTAGTTCGTTTTAATATCTAAGTAATTCATAACTTACCGAAGGAGATGAACAAGCACGTCATTTTTAAAGTTCCTATTTTTATTTTTTTTTATTATTTATAATGTAACCTTAAGTGTATTGTCCGACCGAAATTGTTTTTACAACAGATACCGCATTTTACTTTGACCAAAACCGAAATGGACGCATTTCTTACTTTAAAATTATTTTTGGTATAGGTAGATAACTAACTACCTATATGTATATTTTAACGGAAATTATTTTTTATGACCTTTTGATGAATTGTATTGCCAATATTAAATGTCATTTCAATTAATATTATGTGACGTAGTTTAGTTATCGAGCTCGGTTTCGGTCGGTTTTCAGGAACCGAATCTTAAATCGCGTGCCGGAACTTACCGAAACCTGGGTACATTTCGGTTGGACTTATAAGTACCTAAGTATATATAATTTAGTTTTTGTAACGCCAATGTTAATGAAATAATGACATAATAAAATCGAGTTGTATTATTAGTTTAGATTGTGTAAAATCAAGATTTGGCGTAATAAATAATTATGGAGACATGCTGAGTTTTATTTCATTCTTCTAACTTATGGCTTCCAGAATGGCGGACTCCGATGTGTCCGATGTAAAGGTACGTTTAGAGTACGACACTATACGCCGTACACTCAGTGAATACACCGAATGTCCCTGTATGAACAAGAGTGTCTCTAATTTATTGTGATACGGTAGTGTAGCATCAGCCGCCGTCTCAGTATAACTAAATGTGAACAGTACAGACACATTTGTGTCAGAATTGTCGTAGTCTAAATGTATGTTTTTTTAATAAACGTTGCACCACACTAGGATTTTCTCGTTTTCACTTTGTCGTGGGTGCGTTGACAAATATACAAGTTCACATACACATTACACCCAGACCCGAAACAACAATTTGTGGATCACACAAAGAGTTGCTCCGTGCGGGAATTGAACCCGTGACACAACGCGCGGCAGACGGTTCCAAAGCTACCACACCAAACGTGTCGTCAAACTTTTTCTTTCTCTTACTTCTTTACTCCTTCGTCTAAAAAGATGAAAGTAAAATGAAAATGAATCTTTATAATTCTCCTATCATCTTCGTTCCAGTGCCGTTCAGGCTACTTCTGATTAATTTTGAGTCTACTAAGTCTTTATATCTTGACCTTATATTATTCAACTTCCAAGTCCCCTTTCACCTGCGAGGACCGCCCTGAGGACACGGTGGAACACACTGTAGCGGAATGCCCTGCGTGGGCTGAGCACCGCCGTGCCCTCAGGGAAATGATCGGCGATGGCGACCTCTCGCGTCCGGGCCTAGTGCAGGCCATGATGCGGAGCGAGGGGGACTGGGATGCCGTCTCCTCCTTTTGCGAAGCAGTCATGCTAGCTAGGGAGGAGGTGGGACGCGTGAGGCAGCGAAGCGCTGCCTCCTCGCAACCCAGCCATCGCGAAAGACACACCGGGCGTCGGGGATCGCGGGACGATCTCCGGCCACCGTAAGCGCGGGCCTGCGGACGGCGAGCATGGGTGGCTCCCCGTCCGACCAGAAACAGGCCCGAGCGTACGGCGCGTCGCGTTCCGCGCGCGCCTCAAAGAGCCATCAGACCACCACAGATGGGGCCCAATAGGGCCGATGCCGATTTGGAGTCGCGGAGAACCTAACGGGTAACCGGGACTCCGGCTCGACGTGCAAGAGAAGGAACGGGGTGGTTTTTAGTCAGTAAGAGTCTGACACTCCCTTCCGCCTCACCCAGGCGGGAGCAGTCATTCGATGATTTCCCCCTTAAAAAAAAGTCCCCATTCACAAATTGTGGTAGGTTAGTTTATATGGAATTTTAATCTGATCTAATTCTATCTTGGTTACATTCAATAAAACTTATGTCTGCATTCTTCTTCATCGGCAGCAGGTAGGATGTATGGGCAGTGGTGTAACTACAGGGTGGCATGTCTGCAAAATACCTCGGGCCCCCAACTGGATGGGGCCCCGTTTAGAGGTTTTCATCTGAACTTCTCTATTTTTTATAGGGAGCGAGGCCTCATCCGATGAATTGGACACGGGCCCCAAACGGTATAGTTACGCCACTGTGTATGGGCGTATTATTTTCCCCGCGCTTTCCGTCACTCTGCACCTGGTTCTAGGGACCTGAATAATTGGATTCTATGTCTTTGCTCATTTAAAAACTTTCACCTCAATATTTGCTAGGATTTGAAACCTTTAGTTTCAAGATCGAATATGCCTATTTATTGTTCCAAAACTATTTTAATCTATCTTTTTTTTATCTATTCGGGGAATAACTGGTGTAGGTTATATCACACAAGAGAAATAATCTTAAAGCAATTTGTTTGTTTTTGAGGTCTTTGATAGCAAATTTAATATTGGGTACATGAACTTATAGAATGTCATGATAAAATATCGTAAAGCTAAAACAACAACGTAGGTACATACTCAGTTTGCACCACTCCACGAACAGATAACAAATTATAAACAACTACCTACCATATATGGAAAATATGCCTTCTTATTGAATAATCTAAACATGTCCGCTCTACAAAATATGATTAGAGTAAACAACGATAAATCTGTGACATTATTATCAAGTTCATTATAGTACTTGCTTTGATAGTTTATTGGTTTCAACTTTCAATGATAAAATATGTTATTGAATCTTTTTCGTATGAGGGTAGGTTGTGAGTTACTTGAGAACAAGTTTCCGATGTATAGCCGTTTTGTCTATGTAGATGTGAGAGGGGTAACTAGTATAAATGGTGCATCTATGCACCGATCGATCCTTTCATTCGACGACGGTTTACGTGTAACATTTCATTTATTGACTTTCTTCGTAAACGTTATTTTTAAATTAATTTTTGAAAAATGGACTCCGTATCCGTAAGTTTTAACAATGCGGAGGAACACAAACCTATATTTACACTTGCTGGCGATCAAAATCCTACATCAACTACCGTAAGTACCTACTTATTGATGATGCGTTAACAAAGCATTGTTTAAATTCTTGAAAATATTTGTGTAATGAATGAACAAATTAATTTTAACATCATTCAATCTATCAAAATTGCGTCAAACATTGCGAACCTAGGTATTTTGGGAAATACTTTTATTATATTTTTTTTGTAGATACCTTCACTATGAATAATTATGTGATAGTTAATACTGTTGAAGGCCACAAGTACGTCCATATACGTATGGTATTCAACTAGTACAACGTGGCAGCCCACGTTGGACCTATACCTACTTATTATCTCCACTAATGAAATACTTCTTCTTAATTTCTATGCTACTTCTAGTGTTATGAACTTGTCTTACAGGATAGCTTCATATTTCCGGATAATAGAAACGTGGCTCAAGATCCAGTAATGCCCTCTATGACACCAATGATGCCGGGTCTTGAAGGCAGCGAGCTCTTGAATATGCTGACTCAACAGGAGCCAAGAGCCGCCGATTATCGTATGTACCTAATCTATATAATAAAAATGAAACCCGTTTCCCGTTGTTACGCCATAACTGAATGGCTGGACCGATTTGGCTGATTTTTTTTTGTTGTTTGTTTATGTCGGGAGAAGGTTCTTATGATAGAAAAAAATCCTGAAAAATCTTATGTTAACGGGAGAAAACGGGATTGCGCGTACGAAGTCGCGGGCCGATGCTAGTTATTTAATGTAAATTGTAGGTGATCTTGAATTTTAAGTACCCTTGTCAATAACTAACCAATAAGTTTTATAAACATAACGTTTTGTTTGTTTAGAGTATAATTTCTATATCAGTCGGTTATTATGTGAAATTTTCCATTCCGTATAGCGTAAATAAGTTATGAGCCGAAGAACATTGTTATGACTAAGTATTTGTTTCTACAGCGCCCGCAGTCGCCGATATGGAGGAGTTGTTGTCAAATATTCGTCTGAATGGATCTGACATGTTCACTGAAGATGCCAACGTTAATAATTATTTTTCAGGTAATATTGTTTATTTAACGTTCTAAATTTGAACAGAAAGTTGTTTGTTTCCCCAGTTCATATGTTACAATAATTTACACAGGTTGATGGTGTGTTCGACTTTGTTGTCGGCTATTTACGAGTCTGTTTGTCTGAGAGAGATCTATACCTAGTTCTAAATTAATTACGATCTCAGTTGTTGGATTAAAGATTACCAAAACAATTCTGCTTCTAAACAAATATTTAGCTAACTATTGCTATAAGCTTTATTACCCTTAAATAAAGACTTCAATAAATATTATTGTATGTAAAATTTTAAATTGCAAGGTCAATATTTGACTAGTTGTATGGAGTTTCTGTCAAGAACTAAGATTTTATTAATTTCGACCGTAACCAAAGTTACATTGAGATTATTTTTAAATGACAGATTTTTAATAATGTTAACAGGATTTGGTAGTCGTACCGAGGCCGCTTCGTCTAGCGTTTGGCCTGAAGCTGCGACCCCGCAGCCCTCGAGGAACAGCGAAATGATGGATACTTTCGACTTCCTCGTTAAAAGTATGTGATTCATTTTACTATTTACTTCCCTTTCTATATCAGTTAACTATATCAGTTTACTTTCTAAGCCGCGGAAGACTTAACGGGTTGCCGGGGCTCCGGCTCGAAGTGCAGAAGTAAGAACGGGGTGGTTTTTAGTCAGTGAGTCTGACACTCCCTCTCGCCTCACCCGGGCGGTAGAAGTCGGTGGAGAGTCATTTTGCCCCTAAAAAAGGGTGTCAGACAGTTAGGAATAAACATTTCTAATCTCTGTTTCAATTTCTTAAGTGCTAAATTCAGTAACGTCAGAATACCTACTGAAAAGTTATTCAATTTAAGTTGTACTTAAATATCGTGCCATCTCTGTCATTTTGCAAAGAATTTATAGAGACAGAACTATATTTAAGTGTGACTTTTGAGTAGCCTTTCAGTATTTGGATATGAGTGTTTCAGATGCTACTTTGATAGAAAATGTGAGATTAGAGTTTACAGCTGTTTTCTGATTTATAGGTTTGTCGTCGGCAAACACATATGTGTCGATGTTGACACGAGAGCAACTGTCAGTGCTGCGATCCATTCGTCCCAGTCTGTTGTATGAATTCCTGCAAGAAGTGGCCAAAGCACGCAGCGACCGCCGTATGCGACGCGCCCTACCGAACGTAAATATTATCAAATGTTTGTCTGATAACTGTATTTTTTAACATTGATACTAGTTTAAACCGGTTAGATATGTTTAGTTTATACGTAGTAAAATTTAGAACTCTTATTATTTATAGTAGGTACCTATCGGTTTCTAATATCATTATTCAAGTAGGTATTATTTAAAACGTTATGTGTGGTTACAGGAATGTGCCTTCTGCAAGAATAACGGTGAGAACGAGGAGTGTTACTCTTCACATGCACTGAAGGATTTACGCGGTCGTGTCTTGTGCCCTGTTTTGCGCGCTTTCCGCTGTCCCCGCTGTGGCGCCACTGGTGACAGGGCCCATACTATCAAGTATTGCCCGGAGGGCAGTGAATCAGGTAACACATTATTATATTATTATAAATATTAATGTTACAAAATAACATGTTCTATATAACACAATCATTATGCCTTCTATTCAGATTTCTTTACAAGTAATATTGTTTCAGCCATACAATAATTTGAGAAAATCTTCCATGGTTTTCTAGTCTTTGCGCTCTTTAGGATGATGTTTGATCATAAACTAGAAAACTTGAGTTGAATGTTTGTTCCATAGGTTCTGGAAGCCTTTCGTCCCGCAGGCGTGTGCCGCCTTCGACGTCTCTGCTGTTGAATGGCGCCGGCGCCAACACTTCACGCTCGCAGGCCGGCACGTCTGCGCCTTCCGCTTCCCCAGTCAGCTCACCGGCCAACCCGGGACTCTCCTACTCATCTCTCTGGACCAACTTTGGTCTAAACTGAACCTTGACGAGTGAATACAAACTACCAGTCTCAATAATCTATCTATTGTCAAGCATTGATAGAATTTTGACACACCCCATATAAAATGTGTCAAAATTGTATCTCTAGTGCAATCGATAGATTATCGAAACTTGTTATTGCTAGACAACGAGTATCCTGGGTGCAAATATTAGATTGTTATTGGACATAACTGTACCATTTGTTGACTATATCTACGCACCTCTAAGGACGCTCGTTCTTACTGTTCACTTGTGTGAAATGTACTATGGAATACTGATTCACGATACCTTAAGCCTCGGCTTTGGTACAATTTTTCTGAGACCATAAACACAAAATATGGTTTTCTGTTTTAATTATTGCGTACCAGTATTTATTAACAGGGAAGCTGTATTTTCAAACTAGAGTTCGGTCATTTTTCTACTTTACAAAGTATAAAAGTGCACTGTGAAAGAACATTAGTTCGAAATATTTTCAAAGTATGCAGGCCATGCTTTGGGTCAAACACCTAATTATGGTTTCAGAACATTTTCTATTTACATTGTTTCTCTAATTAATTTTTCATTGGTTTTAAAAATATTTATACCTTATGTTATCAAATGTCTGAAGTTGATTAAAATTAATAATAATATGTAATAACATCGAAATATTCATACATCAGCTACAATTGAATAGTTTCTATTCTAAATCTTAATGAATTTATTGTTAATATATTTCTCCTATAATCAATTTACATTATTTCATGTACACTGCACTACATACTTTGGTAAAATTAACTTTTGGCAAAAAAATATTCTAATCACTAGTTAGTGTACCAATGAAAAATTTTCCTTTCGCTTTTTTGTAAAATCGAATATATTACTTATTTTGAGCATTACTTGGTATTTTTATTTCTACTAATATCCATACTACTAGCAAACTTATGACATTTTAGCTTCCATCACCTTTGTGTTAACACAGGCAACTCCACACCGAGCTTTATTACAAATACTGCACGGTTGGCGCCGTGGCTGGGCATCTGGCTGCTACGCAACGTGTTGCGGGTTTAATTCCCCACGAATTAACTCTTTGTGATCCACAATTTTTTGTTTCGGGTGTTATGTGTATGTGGATTTTATATTTGTAAACGCACCCACGAATCAGGAGAAAATCCTAGCGTAGGGCAAAGTTTTTTTAAACTGTCAAACACCGCGAGGACACCGGTGACCGCAACCTATTGTTCTTTAATTGTGTCTATAATGACGGTACTCAAAGAGTTAAACCCCAATAGGCAACAAAAAAAGAAAATATAGGTAAATAAAAATAAATAAACATATACTCCTGTCAAATATTTTATTCAAATAACTATTACAATAGACGATAATACATTAACAGTGTAACAGAGTATTATTACGTGGTACGATAATGTTTACTAAACACAAACGATGCTGAGGCCTGCCTTGCATTTACAACGAACACAACGATCCTTTATATCGTAAACATACTATTGAATAACAACTCCTTAGGATAAGACCATATAACTGCGTACTGACTACGCATTGAAATAATGAATTGATATTACTATATACATACATACGAGGAGTAATAAATTTGTTGGATACATATTTTTATTGGTTCGGCGTTTAGCACCTATGCTACATAACATAACATCACGCCTTTTATCCCCGAAGGGGTAGGCAGAGGTGTACATTATGCCACTGTACAATGTAACACCCACTTTTCACTATTTATGTTATGAGTCCCATGTAATAGGGGGTGAGCCTATTGCCATATACCGGGCACAATTCCAGACTCCGTGCTACTACTAAGAATTTATAAAAACCCAGTAGTACTTCGCCCGACCCGGGAATCGAACCCGAGACCCCTTGACCGGCAGACGCACTTGCAACCACTCGGCCAACGAGGCACCTATGTTATCTGATGGTAACCGATGATGCGGCTTACGATGGAGGATGGCTGCCCATAAGCAACATACTCACTCGAGATTTAATCTCCTAGTCATTGAATCAGAGTAGCTTCTAGTACAAAGCGACTGTATGATTCAGTACTGAACTATAAAACATGTTTGCTTGTCATTTCCGATCTTAGTCTTGTGTTATATCACGCCATTGTATTGCTATGTGATGTTATTTTTGCAACGCATTCACAGCCCAGCTCCTTCACCTTTGGGTGAATAATGAGACAAAGCTCCACTTTTTTTTAAGGGGTAAAATCATCGAATGGCTTTTCCCGCTCGAGTGAGGCGGGAGGGAGTGTCAGACTCTTACTGACTGAAAACCACCCCGTTCCTACTCCTGCGCTTCGAGCCGGAGCCCCGGCAACCCGTTAGAAACAAACACATGTAGTCAGAACTCAGTAATATGTCCTCTTTCCTTAAACAGATTATATCAAAACTTTACATACACTATCTTATAAATGTGCGACAAACCCCAACACATCAATTCGATAAAGTGCCTCTATACCATAATGGCACTTCAATTTGGTTACATTAGTCAATATCATATCAATAATACGATTTTGAACTTCAAAATCAGAACTATAGACAATAGCAACGTTTTAAGATGATTAAATTCGTTCCATTTACAAATTCGTAACTTTCGTGTTCGCTTTTACATAGAGGGCACCACTTTCGAAATTGGTATCCGAAATATTACATAGACAATGATTACATATAGAAAATTTCTTAATAGGAATAGAGTATTAACATCTAACAAGCATTAACGTTACAAGGACTAAAATATTTCGTATTGTAAATTCGTCGAAATAGTAATACGGAGATAATGCATAAAACATAGTTAAATATAGGTAAATATAGTTAGTGAGTTCATAGCATTTTGTTTAGATTTTTCAAGAAGTTTTTAACATTTACGAAAACTAAATCGTTCCCTAAAGAGGTTATATATTTACAGAGTAATACAGGGTCATACAATACTGGTAAAATTTCCAAATTGCTTTATTTAATCGCAAAAGCAATATTACAGAGGCAAGTTGAGAACATTGCAATAATTTGGCAAGTGAACATTACATTATTATACTAAAATATATAAAAAATTGAAACTAACAATAAAAAAATTCATTGAGATTCACCGTATGAGCCGAATTCTTAAAAAAAATACATTTAAATGCCAACATTTTTGGAATGGCTTTATATTTTTTTAAATAGGAATGTTAATCGCACTTGGATTTCATAAAAAGCCACGCAATACATTTAGAACCTTTAGACAAATACATAGGCCTTGAATATTCAACCTTATAGTTTCCAACTAACTAGGTATAATTTCTAACGTTAATTGAAATTGCGGTTTACACATGAACTCTTCGAGGAAAGCTTTACTGGTTTCAAGCATCGACATATACTAATGGACAGGCCGTACGCGTATAATCAGCAGTAATTTTGAAAAGAGTGAGAGAGATGGCCTTTGCTTTCGGTCTAGCGCTATCTCTTTCTCGCTCATAACGTCTTAACTACGGTACTATTTTGAGAGAGATAAAGATAGACCGAAACTTCGTTTCCTCTCTTTCTTTCGGAGTGCCACAATTCTCATCTCTAAGGCATGTCCATTAGTATATGTCGATGGTTTCAAGTTACACTGGGATTCATATACTCCCAACGAGCGGACGACGACTGACTTAAAAACTTTTAGAGCTTTTCTCGAATAATTTACGCGAGTAACGCCCAAATACTGAAGGGCTACTAAATTTTAAGCTGTAGGTACTTAAATATCGTGCCGTCTCTGTCATTTTACATAGAATTTGTAGCGACAGAATTATACTTAATCGCGACGGCGTTTGAGTATTTAGATATAAAACCACAAATTTCAATTAACTGAGTACGTCTCACGATAGTTTTTACACAAAATAATATCTAAGTAACGTTATAAAACCAATACTTAAAATCTTTGGTTTACTAAATATAAATCACACCACCCTTTGAATTATGGCTCTCTTCACAATTCGATGCGATTGCGCAATGGGGGGAGGAAAGATTTCTTGTAATTTTTATTAGGAAGTAAGACTTTGAGAGCTCAAGAAATAGACCGTATTATATCTCAATATCGCATGTAATTTCATACAGGTTGTCATTGAAACATCAAGTTTATTTCCATACTGTTAAGGTACATTATGTACTGTCAATCACTGAACAGGTCAATCTCCTGTACTATGTCTAAACATTTATTCCAGCCAATATATTTCTGTTTATATCAAAGTATACATACTTAACATACTAACATTTAAAGCTTACATCTCGCCACCCCAACCATTTAATACGCTATGCATCAATAACACTATTTTATTAACAATAGTAATTATTATTATTACAATAATATCGATTATTTTTATTATATACACCTCAGCTTGACGCTAAGTCAACAAGAATGGAAGTAACTGGTGATTATTATTAACCCATAACCTAGCGCATACTAGAGGAGGCGCGGCGAAGATACTGAAAATATATCAATTTAAAATAAACCTTAACTACTATGGCACACGGATGAAAACCGCATGTCAAAGATAGATTTTAGTGAAATGCGCGCGGTGCGTCGTTAAGCTTCTTTGACATGCCGTTTTCATCCGTATGCCATAGTAGTTAAGATTTATTTTAAATTGATTTATTCTCAGTACCTTCCGGTTTGAGCTGGACCACAGAAAATATGTTTAGAGATCTACGAAAGACCTATTGTTGTCTTGCTCTAGCATGTGTAATAAGAAAAGGACAGAATAATAGTTAATAATTTCCTTTCAATTCTTTACTATTCCGTGCATCTAACGTTTTATCTCATACATAATCGTGGCGTTCAAAGGATGTGTATTTTTGGTTAGTAAAGTTTCTACAGTAGCGGCGCTAGTGTAGTTTATTCTACTTGGCACCATTGCTAAGAGAGTTTTGTTTTAAAAATATTAAACTTCGTTGAATGATTAATTGTATTGTAAAATGATTATGTTTGTTTGGCAGCAAATAGTTTCATAAGTCATTTTTTAAATCGCCTACATTTTATAAAATTTTAACAGAGATCACTTTACCGACCTATGGTCAAAGAAGCACTAGCATGTTTTAAAATTATTTCATTTATTTAATTAGTCCGCTTACAGCCAGCAACAAGGATTTCGAACAAGATATTTTAAATATAGCATCAGTTATTCCACTATAGTACTATACTCATAATATCATAAAAACGTACAGGTATAACGTAAATATATAAAAAGATTCGTAACATTGAAGGACTTCAAAATGTCCTAACAGCCTTTAGTGTACTTAGCACAAAATGTCTTTGCGTTGTATAGAGCAATATTTTAACCCTTTACTTGGGAAGACCATAGCCTAAAAACATTATCTAGCATATCAAACAAAGTACTAAAAACATACAGTACAATATGTTATCTGTGAAACTAATCTGACAACCACAATTGGTGTGTTGCCAGATAACAAAAAAAATTTAAAGCAGTCATAGTGATGTCACGAAAAAAATCGACTAAGCCGAATTTTAGCATTAGTACACCATGGAGCTAGAAAAAAATCTACACTAAACTTTTTTAATCTGCTTTAACTATAAACTATTTCACAGAATATGCACGTTTACCTCGATGTGTTTAATAGTTCTGAGTCTGCATGTGTGACGTCACACACATTACGTTTTGGTTCCGCTCGGCTAGTGAGCATGACTGGTCGCTACCACAGCCATCGCCGCCGACCGCCCGACTCGTTGCGTCATTCACTTGGTTGTTCTCCTGTTAACAAATTAAAAGAGTCAAGTATAGATTCGATTTTTAGAATTAGTAAATAAGTGTAACAAACACTCTTCTGAAAACTTCATCTAAATCGGTTCAGCTAATCGCGAGATAATCGTGCACAAACCCTACATTCTGTCGGTTAAAAATATTGGATGTTTTATTTACTCTGGTCCCAAGTTTTAAATCATAGCGCAAACTACAAATGATGATATTTGATTTAGATGATATTTGGTAAGGAAATGAATTATAGTTTGGAGAAACAGTATAAAAATTTAACTCCAATAACCTGGGTTCTTTTACAACTAAAGAGCTTATACAGTTGAATATAGTTTGATGTGCTAGATTTGTAACACCCCAGTATTCCGATTCGAACGCACTTGAAACGCCTCTGGTGTTCCAGGTGTCCATGGGCGACGCCGATAGCTTACGATCAGGTGATCCGTCTGCTCGTGTACCGACTTATGCCGTAAATAAAAACAAAATGAGCAGCGCTTACCATCAGGTTATTTGTTGGCATATTTGCACCTCTATTAAAAAAAAAACACATAACATAACATAACATCACGCCTTTTATCCCCGAAGGGGTAGGCAGAGGTGCACATTATGCCACTGTACAATGTAACACCCACTTTTCACTATTTATGTTATGAGTCCCATGTAATAGGGGATGAGCCTATTGCCATATACCGGGCACAATTCCAGACTCCGTGCTACTACTGACATTTTTTATAACCCAGTAATACTTTGTCCGACCCGGGAATCGAACCCGAGACCCCTTGCCCGGCAGTCGCACTTTGCGAGCACAAAAAAAATCACAGTATTGATATTAATTACCTTCGTTGTTGTTATGCTTGGCTCGTACGAGTCGCTCGGGGTGCGAGTGCGCGAGCTGCGTGTAGTCGCGGAACACTTCGTTGTACGTGTCGTCGTTTGATGACATCTCACTCTCTCGCATCTCCTCGTTCAACTTCGTCAGCCTTAAACTAATTGTCATTTATTGATTAATATGTGAAACTAGCTTCTGCCCGCGACTTCGTACGCGCAATCCCCCCCCCCCCCGTTCCCGTTCGTGATTTTCGGTAAAAAGTAAAAAAAAGTATTCTATAAAAAGTATCCTATGCCCGTCTCCTGGTTCTAAGCTACCTCCCTGCCAATTTTCATCTAAATCGATTGAGGCGTTCTTGAGTTATAAATAGTGTAACTAACACGACTTTCTTTTATATATATATATATAGATAATTATTAAGTAATTTAACTTAACTAAAAATCGCAGGTTACTCACGTGAATATACTGAGATAAGCTCTCTACTAGTTTAGTATATCTCACGATAGTTATTATAAAAACAAAGTAATATATTATTTATACTAAGTGTTGATCTTTAATTTTCACCTACTCTGATTGGACAAAGGAGCATATTACGCACTTCGGATTCACACTTATAATATTTTGTATGTAAAAGTATAAAAGGTTTAAATGTTTATAGGACATGTGAAATAAATTAATCAACGAAATACTCTACTATGCGTAGTTCCACATGCTAAAATCAATCGTAACACCAAATAAATAAAGTAAATTTTTCCATAGGTACACATGGAAACCATTTTTAGACTATCCTTACTAATTTTGATTTATAATTATATATTACTTTATAATTATAAATCAGAAAGTGAGTTTGTTTGTTTGTTCCGCTTTCACGCCGTAACTACTGAACCGATTGCTTTGAATTTTTGCAGACGTAAAGTTAGAAGTCCGGATTAAATAATAGGGTATTTTGTATCTTGGAAAAATTTGATATTCCCGAGGGAAAACAAAAGTATTGGTATAGATGGCGCTGTGTATATCGGTATATGTCACATAGGCTACTTTTTATCCTTTTGTGACGTGAGCGAAGCAGCGGGTAAAGCTAGTTTTATATAAATAAAAATTACTTACAGTGTAACAATATCAGCGTTGGCATTATTGACGGCGATGTCCAGCGGCGTCTGCCCATCCTTGTCAACTATCGACTGGTCTGCTCGGTACTTGAGTAGTAGGCAAACCTATAACCAAAATTAAGCTTTTTAAAACCCCCTTCATCATCATTTAATCTAACTGATCTAATGGTAGTTCGAACATTAAAGAGGAAATATTGGGTTCCCTTGTGCCTGACATATTTAAAAATATATATTATTAGGATATTGTTATTTGCTCGGTCCGATGATGAGGACAATATTGAGTAATGTATCTATTGTTTAATTGAATTGTTCATTTTCTTTATTACTACCATGTTTCTCTAATATCGTTCTGGATTATAAATCATTATAAATAATTATAATAAAATATAACACTAGTCGTTGCATGTCATGTTGTGTGCACATACTTGTGGAAGTATGGTCTGCCATTTACTGTTTTATGTTGTTACTCTGTTGTGAATTACGTTATGTTTCTGTTTTGTATACCTATTAAATAAATAAATAAATAAAATAATAAAAGAGATATTGCAAAAATAAATCTATATTTGGCTGCCATAATCCAAGATGGCGGCGTGTGCGGCTCACGTAGAAGGGTGCAAAATGGAAATCAGAAAGAGCACATCGAAATCTACAATATTGCCATTTTTTTAAAGTCTCGGAAAACATTCCAAATTCAAATTCTTTATTGCGTCCAGGTAGAACTACCAAATGACTCGACTAATGAGTTTGTATATCGAAATAGGTGTCTTTTTTCTTACCTGTCCAGTGTGGCCAGCTTCTGTGGCGAGGTGTAAAGGAGTTTTCCCATCATCGTCCTGCATATTCAACTTGCTACCGTTCAAAAGAAGGAATGAACACGCCATCACTGATCCCTGTAATAAATAACTTAATATTAATACAGAGCGTACACTTTTCGAGGATACTCGACTGGTTACAAAGTGTGACTGGGATACGTGATAGTTAAAATATTTACACTGTCTTTTAATAGGCAATCATGGCTAGTCAGTATGTGCCCGCGCGTTTATGTCTGCGCCGGCCGCTGTGTGTGTGTGTGTGTGTGTGATGTACTTACACTGAGCACGGCGGCATGTAGTGGAGTGCGTCCAGTATGTGCCCGCGCGTGTATGTCTGCGCCGGCCGCTGTGTGTGTGTGTGTGTGTGATGTACTTACACTGAGCACGGCGGCATGTAGTGGAGTGCGTCCAGTATGTGCCCGCGCGTGTATGTCTGCGCCGGCCGCTGTGTGTGTGTGTGTGTGTGTGATGTACTTACACTGAGCACGGCGGCATGTAGTGGAGTGCGTCCAGTATGTGCCCGCGCGTGTATGTCTGCGCCGGCCGCTGTGTGTGTGTGTGTGTGTGTGTGTGTGATGTACTTACACTGAGCACGGCGGCATGTAGTGGAGTGCGTCCAGTATGTGCCCGCGCGTGTATGTCTGCGCCGGCCGCTGTGTGTGTGTGTGTGTGTGATGTACTTACACTGAGCACGGCGGCATGTAGTGGAGTGCGTCCAGTATGTGCCCGCGCGTGTATGTCTGCGCCGGCCGCTGTGTGTGTGTGTGTGTGATGTACTTACACTGAGCACGGCGGCATGTAGTGGAGTGCGTCCAGTATGTGCCCGCGCGTTTATGTCTGCGCCGGCCGCTGTGTGTGTGTGTGTGTGTGTGATGTACTTACACTGAGCACGGCGGCATGTAGTGGAGTGCGTCCAGTATGTGCCCGCGCGTGTATGTCTGCGCCGGCCGCTGTGTGTGTGTGTGTGTGTGTGATGTACTTACACTGAGCACGGCGGCATGTAGTGGAGTGCGTCCAGTATGTGCCCGCGCGTGTATGTCTGCGCCGGCCGCTGTGTGTGTGTGTGTGTGTGTGTGTGTGTGATGTACTTACACTGAGCACGGCGGCATGTAGTGGAGTGCGTCCAGTATGTGCCCGCGCGTGTATGTCTGCGCCGGCCGCTGTGTGTGTGTGTGTGTGTGATGTACTTACACTGAGCACGGCGGCATGTAGTGGAGTGCGTCCAGTATGTGCCCGCGCGTGTATGTCTGCGCCGGCCGCTGTGTGTGTGTGTGTGTGTGATGTACTTACACTGAGCACGGCGGCATGTAGTGGAGTGCGTCCAGTATGTGCCCGCGCGTGTATGTCTGCGCCGGCCGCTGTGTGTGTGTGTGTGTGTGTGATGTACTTACACTGAGCACGGCGGCATGTAGTGGAGTGCGTCCAGTATGTGCCCGCGCGTGTATGTCTGCGCCGGCCGCTGTGTGTGTGTGTGTGTGTGATGTACTTACACTGAGCACGGCGGCATGTAGTGGAGTGCGTCCAGTATGTGCCCGCGCGTGTATGTCTGCGCCGGCCGCTGTGTGTGTGTGTGTGTGTGTGTGATGTACTTACACTGAGCACGGCGGCATGTAGTGGAGTGCGTCCAGTATGTGCCCGCGCGTGTATGTCTGCGCCGGCCGCTGTGTGTGTGTGTGTGTGATGTACTTACACTGAGCACGGCGGCATGTAGTGGAGTGCGTCCAGTATGTGCCCGCGCGTGTATGTCTGCGCCGGCCGCTGTGTGTGTGTGTGTGTGTGTGATGTACTTACACTGAGCACGGCGGCATGTAGTGGAGTGCGTCCAGTATGTGCCCGCGCGTGTATGTCTGCGCCGGCCGCTGTGTGTGTGTGTGTGTGTGTGATGTACTTACACTGAGCACGGCGGCATGTAGTGGAGTGCGTCCAGTATGTGCCCGCGCGTGTATGTCTGCGCCGGCCGCTGTGTGTGTGTGTGTGTGTGATGTACTTACACTGAGCACGGCGGCATGTAGTGGAGTGCGTCCAGTATGTGCCCGCGCGTGTATGTCTGCGCCGGCCGCTGTGTGTGTGTGTGTGTGTGTGATGTACTTACACTGAGCACGGCGGCATGTAGTGGAGTGCGTCCAGTATGTGCCCGCGCGTGTATGTCTGCGCCGGCCGCTGTGTGTGTGTGTGTGTGATGTACTTACACTGAGCACGGCGGCATGTAGTGGAGTGCGTCCAGTATGTGCCCGCGCGTGTATGTCTGCGCCGGCCGCTGTGTGTGTGTGTGTGTGTGTGTGATGTACTTACACTGAGCACGGCGGCATGTAGTGGAGTGCGTCCAGTATGTGCCCGCGCGTGTATGTCTGCGCCGGCCGCTGTGTGTGTGTGTGTGTGTGTGATGTACTTACACTGAGCACGGCGGCATGTAGTGGAGTGCGTCCAGTATGTGCCCGCGCGTGTATGTCTGCGCCGGCCGCTGTGTGTGTGTGTGTGTGATGTACTTACACTGAGCACGGCGGCATGTAGTGGAGTGCGTCCAGTATGTGCCCGCGCGTGTATGTCTGCGCCGGCCGTGTGTGTGTGTGTGTGTGTGATGTACTTACACTGAGCACGGCGGCATGTAGTGGAGTGCGTCCAGTATGTGCCCGCGCGTGTATGTCTGCGCCGGCCGCTGTGTGTGTGTGTGTGTGTGTGATGTACTTACACTGAGCACGGCGGCATGTAGTGGAGTGCGTCCAGTATGTGCCCGCGCGTGTATGTCTGCGCCGGCCGCTGTGTGTGTGTGTGTGTGTGTGATGTACTTACACTGAGCACGGCGGCATGTAGTGGAGTGCGTCCAGTATGTGCCCGCGCGTGTATGTCTGCGCCGGCCGCTGTGTGTGTGTGTGTGTGTGTGATGTACTTACACTGAGCACGGCGGCATGTAGTGGAGTGCGTCCAGTATGTGCCCGCGCGTGTATGTCTGCGCCGGCCGCTGTGTGTGTGTGTGTGTGATGTACTTACACTGAGCACGGCGGCATGTAGTGGAGTGCGTCCAGTATGTGCCCGCGCGTGTATGTCTGCGCCGGCCGCTGTGTGTGTGTGTGTGTGTGTGATGTACTTACACTGAGCACGGCGGCATGTAGTGGAGTGCGTCCAGTATGTGCCCGCGCGTGTATGTCTGCACCGGCCGCTGTGTGTGTGTGTGTGTGTGATGTACTTACACTGAGCACGGCGGCATGTAGTGGAGTGCGTCCAGTATGTGCCCGCGCGTGTATGTCTGCGCCGGCCGCTGTGTGTGTGTGTGTGTGTGTGATGTACTTACACTGAGCACGGCGGCATGTAGTGGAGTGCGTCCAGTATGTGCCCGCGCGTGTATGTCTGCGCCGGCCGCTGTGTGTGTGTGTGTGTGTGTGATGTACTTACACTGAGCACGGCGGCATGTAGTGGAGTGCGTCCAGTATGTGCCCGCGCGTGTATGTCTGCGCCGGCCGCTGTGTGTGTGTGTGTGTGTGTGTGATGTACTTACACTGAGCACGGCGGCATGTAGTGGAGTGCGTCCAGTATGTGCCCGCGCGTGTATGTCTGCGCCGGCCGCTGTGTGTGTGTGTGTGTGTGATGTACTTACACTTAGCACGGCGGCATGTAGTGGAGTGCGTCCAGTATGTGCCCGCGCGTGTATGTCTGCGCCGGCCGCTGTGTGTGTGTGTGTGTGTGATGTACTTACACTGAGCACGGCGGCATGTAGTGGAGTGCGTCCAGTATGTGCCCGCGCGTGTATGTCTGCGCCGGCCGCTGTGTGTGTGTGTGTGTGTGATGTACTTACACTGAGCACGGCGGCATGTAGTGGAGTGCGTCCAGTATGTGCCCGCGCGTGTATGTCTGCGCCGGCCGCTGTGTGTGTGTGTGTGTGTGTGATGTACTTACACTGAGCACGGCGGCATGTAGTGGAGTGCGTCCAGTATGTGCCCGCGCGTGTATGTCTGCGCCGGCCGCTGTGTGTGTGTGTGTGTGTGTGATGTACTTACACTGAGCACGGCGGCATGTAGTGGAGTGCGTCCAGTATGTGCCCGCGCGTTTATGTCTGCGCCGGCCGCTGTGTGTGTGTGTGTGTGTGATGTACTTACACTGAGCACGGCGGCATGTAGTGGAGTGCGTCCAGTATGTGCCCGCGCGTGTATGTCTGCGCCGGCCGCTGTGTGTGTGTGTGTGTGTGTGATGTACTTACACTGAGCACGGCGGCATGTAGTGGAGTGCGTCCAGTATGTGCCCGCGCGTGTATGTCTGCGCCGGCCGCCAGTGCGCCGCGCATGACGGCGACGTTGTGAGCGCGCGCTGCCTGCGATAGGACTGCGTCCGGAGACAGACGGGACATCTCCTCCGCCGCTAGACAACAAACAATACTTATAAGTGCTTGTTGATGTTGAATGCGCAGGCACGGGCACGATCTCGTGTCCACGTTGACCGCCACGCGTTTACACGAGCAATAAGTTCAAACTTAGTTGGCGGCGCGAACGAAACGCGCGCTCTATCGCTAGTTCGACACGAACACATCCATAATACATTACATACAGATTTAAGACCACTGCGCGCGTCACTCGTACACTTGCCCGCTACTAGCACTGCACCTGCATTTTGTACTTCAACGCTTGCATGTCGTGTCATATGGTTGATATTCCGCGACTGCAGTCGCGAGTCAGCGTGGACAAGGAGACTTCAATTTCTAGATTTCAACTACAACAAATACTGTTTCAACGCTAGTCATGGCTCGTGGCCACATCAGTTTTAGTACCGTACACGTAAACACATATTATACACGACTGACCTAGTTCATCGCTGTCCTCTCCCTCAGTGGAGTCGTGATCAGAAGGCAGGCTGAGGTCGACGCCGCGGTCACTGGCCAGCTCCGTACCAATCAGTAGCACTGGACTGCCATCTGACTTGCTTGAACTTTCTGACACTACAATCAAAGGTAATATAGGTCTTTCTATTTTTCTTAACCCGTCGAGCGTCCGCATTCCTTATCATCCAACGGGTGCACATGGGACATTTGGAGAAAGAAAGAAAGAAAATGCATTTATTTGGCCATTGGCACACGAAAACAAGGATAATTACAATAGAAATAAAAAATACAGTCAAAATAAAAACAAAACATTAATAATAGATTTTATAAAAGAGAAAGCAGCATGGAGCATTTTTTCTTATGATCCACCGGGTGCTCATAAGGACGCTCGAGGGGTTAATGGGATAGTGTGACTAAAGGTTGTATCACCAAATGGTAAGCAATCAGGACCTCCCTCCCATTTTGAAGGATTTTCAAGAGGGGTTTGGGTCTCAAGTTACCTTACACAACGCAAGCATTGTGTTTTCAAATGTAATATGTCTTATTATATGGTACTAATAACATATAACTCAATGAAGTTAAATGTGTATTTATCCTTACTAATATTATAAATTGGAAAGTGAGTTTGTTTGTTTGTTTGTTTGTTCCATATTCACGCCGTAACTACTCAACCGATTGCTTTGAATTTTTGCAGACGTAAAGTTAGAAGTCCGGATTAAATAATAGGGTACTTTTTAACCCGGAAAAAATTTATATTTCCGAGGTAAAACAAGTATACAAAAAAAGTATTGGTATAGATGGCGCTGTGTGTATTGGTATATGTCACATAGGCTACTTATTATTCTTTTGTGACGCGAGCGAAGCCGCGGGTAAAAGCTAGTGTAAAACTAAATACGAATATTTACCACTTGTATTACTGTTGGCATCACTCTTCTCATCATTGATAGTTTCTGGCACTGAAGGAGCAGCACGAACTCTAGAAACAAAAAAACAATATTTCTTTTTATGGGATAAGCTGGTAAACGAGCAGACGGATCAAATTATGTTAAGCAATCGGTGTCGCCCATGGACACGCAAATCACCAGAGGCGTTACGATTGCGTTGTCGGCCTTTTGGGAATTGGGAATTTAAGGATTGTCGGGGATACGGGGATTAGGGAGATTGGGGAGGAAGGTAATGACAGGGTATGAAAATTAAAAATCTAATTATTCTGTCAGTGAGTAATAAAAAAATATTTGACACGTATTTTTTTTATTTTGTCGCGTAAGTAGTAATAATACTTAGATAATACAAATCAAAGTTTAAGAGTAGGAGGTAGCTACGTCATTTTTGAGTATAAAATGTACACAAAGGTGACGTCACGTGAAATGCGATGATTTTATAGTTTAACAGCGACACGGTTCGACTTTTAATTATTGACTGCAACATACCTCCAAGCAATGTTGACGCTGCACTTTATATGTAATTAGTTTTAACGTGTATTACTTTGGCATTCAATAAACGACACTTGAACGAAATGGTTTTCTTTTAAACTCCGAACATTACATGGCGACCGTGACAGGACTCTGCAGTTTGTTAGGAATCAAAAAATACAATAGCACGGCTTATCATCATCAAACACTTGGTGCTTTAGAAAATACCCATAAAAATTTAGGAGCATTTCTTAGAATGCAGTGCGAAAGTACTAGTATAGATTGGAGCACATGGTTGCCATACTGGTGCTTCTCATATAATACTACCGTACACACTGAGACAAAGTATACGCCTTATGAGCTCGTCTTTGGAAAACTATGTCACTTGCCAACAAATTTGCAAACTAATTCAGTAGATCCTGTTTATAATGATGAAAATTATCATATAGAGTTAAAATTTCGATTACAAAAGGCACAATTAGATGCAAAATCAAACCTTGTTCAAAGTAAACAAATTAGAAAAAAATCTTATGACAAAAAACTTAATACTATAACTTACAAAGAAGGAGACTTTATTTTATTAAAAAATCAAGTAGGTAGCAAATTAGACAAAATTTATAGTGGACCATATAAAGTCATTGAGGATCTTGCAACAAATGTGAAAATTATAAAAAATAATAAGGAATATGTAACGCATAAAAATAATACAAAGTTATTTCATAATTGATTTTATTTTGAAATTTACTTATAAGCTTAGTTTAAGTATGTGTAACAATCTAATAAGGTTTAAAAAAAAAAATGTAGTCAACATTGTTTGCAGCCTTCATTTTTTTTTCCTTTTATAAGGGGGATGAAGTGTGTACTTTTTCGGGGGAGTTGAAATGCGATGATTTTATAGTTTAACAGCGACACGGTTCGACTTTTAATTATTGACTGCAACATACCTCCAAGCAATGTTGACGCTGCACTTTATATGTCATTAGTTTTAACGTGTATTACTTTGGCATTCAATAAACGACACTTGAACGAAATGGTTTTCTTTTAAACTCCGAACATTACACACGCGCTATTTCAAATCAATATATGGTGTAAAGTATTTGTTTCCGTGAGAAAATAAAAAATACGTGTCTAATATTTTTAAATAATCTACCAAACAGTTATTAAAATAAAAATTAGTCATCTACCCTATTAACAAGACCGGTTGGTGATTCTTTATTTCAGCAGATTTTAAGCGTATATGAAGATAAAGCTAATTTTCAATATTGATTGAAATTATTTGGACTTTTATTTAGCGCAACCATTTAGTTTGCGCAGTTACACTCCAGCGCAACCGGGGCCTTAAAAAGGATATACTCAAGGTCTCCATTTTTTCTTTAAAGTGCTACAGAAGAAATGTGTACATCGTTAAGATTATAATTAGATGTTACCTGCGCCTGCCTCGTTGGCCGAGTGGTCACAAGTGCGACTGCCGGGCAAAGGGGTCTCGGGTTCGATTCCCGGGTCGGGCAAAGTATTACTGGGTTTTTAAAAAAAATTCTCAGTAGTAGCACGGAGTCTGGAATTGTGCCCGGTATATGGCAATAGGCTCACCCCCTATTACATGGGACTCATAACATAAATAGTGCAAAGTGGGTGTTACATTGTACAGTGGCATTATGTGCACCTCTGCCTACCCCTTCGGGGATCAAAAGGCGTGATGTTATGTGTTATGTTACCTGCGCCTAGCCCGTCGTACCGACCACCGTCGCCCAGCTCTGAGCGGACTGTCCGCCGCGGTCAGTGTCCCGCCGCCCATCAAGTCCTTTACAAACAGCAACGACACGTATTTCGACCGGATCCAAGTCTCCCGTACATTCCTGTACATATTGTTTTGTTTAAAAAACGCAGGGCGCTACAAGGGATAAAATTATAGTGTAGGGCAACTCGTCGGTGATTTAAAAACATACAAATTCACAAACACATCACAACCGGACCAGAAACAACAATTGGGTATTGTCCTGGGTCAAAAATAAATATAATGACGTAATAAGTTAGTTTTTGGTACAAAATTCATAGAAAGATATCGTTTTTGATGTTTTGATAAAAGTATTGAATTTGATAAGTTGTAAAATACCGTATTTGTGGATCACACAAAGAGATGTTGGCGCCGCAGTCAGTTACCCAGCTGCGGCACCGACGCTCGAATATTGAAAGGCTACTCAATTTTAAGTTGTACTTAAATATCATGCCATCTCTGTCATTTTACGAAGAATTGGTAGTGACAGAACTATATCTAAGCGCGACTTATTTCGAAATTCGGGCACTAGACCACCAGAGGGCCCAGTTCAAGTTTGTTTTACGTTAACGCGATCAACACGTTTATGACGTTCGGCACTCTGATTGGCTGCTCCACGTTAACCAACCAACCAAGAGTGCTAAACGCAGTAACGTTTTGACCGCGTTAACGTTAAAAGACAGTCGCACTAGGCCTTAATTGACGAGCGAATCTCTTATTGTTGTTATTGTCCTAGTAGGCAGAAACTATAGGACACGACCAACTAAGATTCATACATACTTCTTTAGCTTTCATCACTGTATGAGATGTTGAATGTTTCTCACACAATTTGGAGTCTACGTGGAAATAAGTCGTTTGATAGTCCGGTGAGATGATATTTATTGATACACTAAACTAACACATCGACTGTATTATCAACCAAACTAATGATTGATGAGTACTGATGTATATGAGTGCTAAACGTGTACTCAATACAAATTTATTGCGATAATTATAATGAAATTAATAAACTAAAATCTACTGACATGAATCGCGCGTGCGTGTGATGTAGGTACAGTCGCTGACTCGTACAATCACATTCTGGCATCAAAACCAAAACTAAATCTCCCATTAGAAAAATCTTTCCAGGTCTATACCTCGGATGCGCTACTTCTAGCACAGAAAACAAATGATTAACGCATTGAAATATGTAGCTTATTACACATCACTTACGTTTCACAATCCGGTGTAGCTCTTTGTATCGTTGTTCCTTCAGCGTTAGCTTCGTAGATCATATTCACTATTTTGTTACCAAGTTCTGCCATTACCTATAACAGAACACAATTATTCATTAAAATATATTCAGGAACCGCTCTAAGACGTCATTTACCACGCGCGGCGTAGACAGTCAATAGTTATGAGACCCGGTGAAGTTTGAAACTAATCGTGCTTCCTTGAATAAATAACTAACAGTAAGGGGTTAGTTTATAGTTTAAGTTAGTTTTTTTTTTACTTTTTTGTGTGTTCCTAAATTCTTGTTGTGTGTCGTAGCAAAATAAATGGTTTTTCTTTCTTCCTTCCTTTCTTTCTTTATGTGCTAGATCAAGCTAAGTAACTCTAAATTAAGAGATGGTTTAGGAGTGGTTGGTGAAAACGGCTAAAACTGTCGAAATAGGTCTCATTTATCTTTAAATATGTTTATTCTTTCCTTTATGGTTAATAATATGAATTGTAAAAATATAAATACCTTTATAATTTCAGGTTCCCAGTCATCCAAAGTAAGGGATCTTACTTTACTAACGTGTACACCAAGCGAACGATGTATGCCAGAACATTCTGGAACAATTTGTTCAAAAGTTCAGTTTATTTTTACGTCTAAGACATAGAAGTGACAATACAAAATTAACTTTATACCTAAGCAACAAGTGTTATACAGTGAAACCTGGTTAAGTGAGACATCAAGGGACCTGCAATGTCGTTTCACTTATAGAGGTATTCCACTTACCCAGTGTCTCAGATATACAGGTATACATAAATATCTGTCTCATTTACAGAGGGTTCCATTAATAGAGGTGGACTTGGAATTACGTGTGGAATTTGTGGGTAGAATAAGAATGAGTAAACAAACAATGTTATCTCAGTTACAGAGGTTTATGCATATAAAATTTATTCGCTGTCTCAGTTATAGAGGTAACTATGATGGTAAATCGAAAGAACGAAGTGTTGGGACCTCAGCATGAGTTCCAGTTATGGAGGTTTCTCACTTATCCAGGTCCCACTTAACCAAGTTTCACTGTATTTCAAAAGCACACAAGGTTAAAGAGAATGAATAGTATTCTACTTTATAACAGTGCAAATAAAGGTTATATTTCGGCAGCATATAAACTTAGTAATGTTCTTACCTATACAAAGTGTAATGCCAAGATTGATGCTAGCCCACCGAGGGTTAGGGCTTCCACAGTCACAACAATAGTTATTTCCTGGAATACTTAACAGTTGCTCCCATATTCTAAAACAATAGAGATGAAAATAAAAACTCAAATTGCAGAGTAAACATTTACAAGTAAATGAAATCTACAAACAAATGTTTGCCATCGAAGGTTCAGCTAACATAATATTTATTGGGTTTTACAAATTTTCAGGGATTAATTGACTAACCATTAATGGAGTAACCATTCTGGAAAAATGTATTAGATTTTGAATTTTATTGCTTGGTTCTAGAGTCGATAATCCAATGAAAAAACACAGATTAGGGGAGGTTGACCTACTGTACAACAGCTGTACAAGTAAAAGACGAAAAGATTTGGATTGGAACTTGTAGAGTTTCTTAGTTAAATAGTAATAATTACATAGTATAAAACAAAGTTGCGTTCCGCCCTCCGTGTGTCTGTATGTTTAGATATTTAAAATTACGCAACACATTTTAATTATTTTTCAAGAGCTAGGATTATTAAATAAACAAGTCCAAAGCCTCGGGCGAAAACTAGTTACTCAATAAAATAAATAACATTTTAATTTACCTGATCTTCTTCATACCCCTGACGTTGGCGACGCTGTGTCTATTCTCCGAAGGTCTGTCGTCTGGTACCAGTATGAGCTGTGTGTCAGGGTTCTCTCGGCTTTGTCCTTGTTGTATGGCGGACCGGATACCGTTCTGTAGAGCTGTTATCCAACAGTTGAGCATTTCTTCGGAGTCTGCTTGAAGCATATGGCTCCTGGAAATTAATTTCGGTTGGCATATAGCACAAGATAGTCTTTACCATAACCTATGTCAAGATTGTTATGATAATGAGATTGAGAATTGGGGTGATGACAGGGTATAAAAATTAAAAATATAATTAGTCCGTAAGTTAGGTAATGAAAAAATATTAGACATGTATTTTTTTATTTTGTTGTATAATAAAACAATATTAATTATACTTAGATAAAATGAATCAAAGTTAAGGAGTGGGGGCTAAAACGTCATTTCTACGTATAAAATGTACATACATAGAAGTGACGTCATGCGACATTTCAAATCAATATATCGTCGAAAGTATTCGTTTCTGTAAGAAAATAAAAAATACGTGTCTAATGATTTAAAATAATCTACAGGAACCTTTTAAGAGGGCCATATTTGCTACAACCCCCAAGTTAAGGATCTATGTTAAGTTACCAAACGTTATGATAAATACTACTGTCCGTAACCCGGTTATTGGGGGTATTTTAACAAATATTTGTAAATCATAAATAAAAAAAATAATGTTGAATTAGACTTTGAGGATATTAGCTAACATATATGGTGTTTATAACAACATAAAAATTAAGAAAGTAATAGGTCCATTAAATATTAAAGCTACGTATTAATAATTTAAATTAATTACCAATCAGAGTAAAAAGCCTTTAAAACTTGTATCACTACATAGTATAAAACAAAGTCGCTATCCGCCGTCGTCTGTCCCTATGTATGCTTAGATCTTTGAAACTACGCGACGGATTATTAATGCGGTTTTTTTAATAGATAGAGTGATTCTTAAGGAAGGTTTATATGTATAATACATGCATATTGCATTGGGGGCGGGTCGCTAGTACCAATATAAATCGTTATGCCGTATAATACTTACTTAGATGGTGACAACACTTCAAAACAGTACCGACGCTCGCCATCCAGCACCGGTTTCACAGTACACAGTCTCAAGTCTTCTTCCATTACTGTCACATTCAACTCCCCTGTCCTTTTCCTAAACAAATAAAGACTAATTTAGAATATTGGACAAAATTATAATAAAGGGAATACTGACAGAAGAAGCTTGTTTTAGAAGACCTGGTTTTCACGTTAAGGATTCTTTGTATTGAGATAGGTATGGTGATGTTTTAAAGAAAAATCTAATAATATGTGCAAGTGCACTCAACCGCATTTGAAGTTCATACCTGACGGCATACATGATAATATCAAATCCACATTTCAAAAATCTACTGATTAGAACAATTGAGCAAAACAATGCAATTGCAATTATTTTATACAATCTAATCTAATCAAACTGATCTAGTCGAACTAATAAACAATACCGATAAAGAATAGGTACCGCCTAGCTTATGACGTCACTGGCCTACATAACAAACGTTGAATCAAAAACCGCAAACAACTCTAAGGCGACTCTACGAGTTCGTTTCACGTTTAAAGTAATCGCGACTAGTTCGGTTGTCTGATTGGTTGGTTAACTTGGAGCAGCCAATGAGAGCACCGAACGTCATAAACAAGGTGATCGAGTTAACGTAAGCCAAACTTGCACTAGGCACTCAGTACTCTACTCACCTATACACTAGACGATTGTCGTATAAATAAAACCATCTCCTATTCCATGTCTTGAAGGCATTCGATGTCCTTTTGAAGAGATATCCTTGCATTCGAGGTAGGTTCTTGAGGCACGGTGTACTCAACAAACCATCTTTGCAATCTCCTTCAGCTTCACTGGTCTTACAGCTGGGTAGTACGGTGTCCTTACTGTTCACTATCGTATGGCGATTCTCCATCTCTTTGTCAAGTATTTTTGTGTCGTTACGCATAGCTGCGATCTGGAAATTTGATCATTAGTGAATATTTCTATGATTGAATACTTTTTGTAACGAGCGTGCTTTGACGCGGCACCACTTGTGTATCACGGTCAATTTGCGTTGTTATGTCGTCAATTTTAAGTATATCGTTACTAATAAGTAAACTTGATTTATGTGTAGTTCGTAATAGTAGTCAATTAGCTAGTCATTTTTAAAAGTAAATTACACATCCGTTGTGTCATGAACAAACTAAGTGGTAATTTGACGATATTGGGTCTTATTGCAGTATATATAAGTCACAACTTTTTGAATGCTGCAAGCCTGACCAGTGATAAGGGCAGGTTCATACAAACTCTTACTTTTAGCTATCACTTAACACACAAAATAAAGTAATCAGTCAATCAAAGTAATCACACAACACAAGCAAAAGAAGAGAACTTACATCTTCTGCGGTGGTCTTAAGGAATGGTTCCAAATCCTCCGATAAGTCGGCACCTTGATGGTAATAGGTGCAGCACGCTTGCAAGTACGACAGGAACTGAAATAGATAAGCTTCATTTACATAATAAGTCATAAACTACTAACAAAGTGTCTTAAGTAAATTTTGAACATTATTGCAAAACAATAAGGTTGGAAATCGATGGCAGAAGTTTGCAAGTGTGTACTCCGAAGCTAATGAAAGTAAGAACAGTACTGATATCAGATGGTGCCTATCTATTCATTATACACTTTCATTTAATCTAAAGTGTTTGGTTCCTACGAACGACGTAAGTAAGAATACCTAGCACTAATATCTATCTTTATATTTTATAAATAAAAATGTATTACCGTTCGTTAGTCACGCTAAAACATGAAAACGGCGAAAACGGAAACGGAAAAAACTTGAGGATAGTTGGGGATTCAGGAATTGGGGAAATTGGGGAAAAGGAGGGTAATTGGGCCTCCGGTAACCTCACTCATAAGACGAAACACAACGCAAGCGTTTCTTCACGTCGGTTTTCTGTGAGGCCGTGGTATCACTCCGGTCGAGACGGCCCATTCGTGCCGAAGTGTGGCTCTCCCACACTTATAAAACTACATATTACGGTAAGTAAGTAAGTAACTACATATTACGGTATTTACTGTCCCGATAGATCCTACAGAAATATCGTCTGTAGAGTACTAGGCAAACTTCTTAAATTTCACGTGGTCGTGGGTGAAGTCGCTGGCACAAAACTAATTGATAATATAATAGTTACTTAATTGGCATTACGAGAAAATTTAATCGAGAAATAAAGAAGTTAGAAGCGAATAATACTTCTTTTCCGGTGCGGAAGAAGTGTAGTGTAAAGTGTTATTAATCAAAACGATAACAACCATTAAGTCTTAGGTGTAATTAAAGACAATATTATACATTTGGTAGATAATAATTATTAAAAATATCTAATCGAAACGATAGCGGTAGAAATTAGGTCAAAAATATTTTATAACCCCGATTTAAAAGACAGTTTCTTTAATGACTGCCTTGTTGGCCGAATGGTCGCAATTACGATTGCCGAGCAAGGGGTCTCGGGTTCGATTCCCGGGTCGGGCAAAGTATTACTGGGCTTTTTAATCTCGGTAGTAGCACGGAGTCTGGAATTGTGCCCGGTATATGGCAATAGGCTCACCCCCTATTACATGGGACTCATAATGAAAAGTGGGTGTTACATTGTACAGTGGCATTAAGTGCCGTAATGTACACCTCTGCCTACCCCTTCGGGGATAAAAGGCGTGGTATTATGTTATGTTATGTTTCTTTAATGAAAATATGGAACAGAATTTATACTGAAATAAAAGTAGATGGCTTTTCGCACGCTATTTGGACATGAGCACCTACATAGGTAAATTATATTTGCCCTATATAAGCATTGAGTCACACCCAGCCGTACCCACTGGGAAACTGAACAAGTAATTGTGCCAAAGAGTTTTTATTAAATTAAAAAAGCATAGAAAGTTAAAATAAGGTGTCGCGAGTCGTGACCTGTTGCTTTAGTTTTTATTTATACAACACACTGGTGAAAGTCACGATCCAATCATTATGAAATTGCTCGAGTAAGCTTTCTTCTCGCCTTACTGCACTTTGGTTTGTGTGGCTAGTATAGTTACTTTATTGGGCTACACTATACAGATATTAACTCAAAATATTTTGCAATACGTTTTAAAAACAATTTGCGTTTAAAGATGTTAATGCCGGAATACTGAAACGTTACTCAATTTTAAGTCGTGCACAAATATAGTTCCATCTCTGTCATTTTACAAAGAATATGTAGAGATAGAACTATACTTAAGCAGGACTTAAAATTGAGTAGCGTTTCAGTATTCCGACATAAGTAAGTTAATAAAATAACTAACTTGTTTAACACATTGAACCTATATGTGTAGCGGAGGATTTGCAAGCAACCGCTTTCCTGATGAACGTTCGAAGTGAGCTCGATCGCATTCTCGCCCGTCATTGGTCGACATTTTTCTCTCAATCAGGCCGCGATAGAGTTCACTTCGATTTTTCGCATTGAAATTTAAAGAATAACCAAGCAGATTCGTTTGCAGTCAATCTATTTTCCCGTTGAGTTTTCTTTATTCAAACAATAACTTTGATAATTGGACATATCTTTATAGGATACTTAGCGACTTTTATGTAATTGAGATCAAACTAAATATAGTCTGCTACATGCGAATAACATTAAGGTATAGAAGAACAATGACGTCAAAACCCCACGCCCCCGAACGTATGCGTAACGATTTGAGTCATAAATAGCTTAATAGTATACCATAATTATATTAAGGAGACCCTGTCTTGTCGACGAAGGTATTCATAGGACATCTACCAGCTATAAATAGATATCATTGACGTAATCCATCCCACATAAATAGACATTATACTTAATTTGAGAGACTTATAACTAAATATTAAATAATCGTAATCTACCGACAGATGATAGGTCATTGAGACTGGCCATTAAGTATTGGATCTTAAAAAAAACACTTGATATCATAAAAACAATACGTAAGACTTCGTAAGAAAATAGAAGTTAAAGAATCACTTAGGCACATTAAATGTAACTTAACCCTAAAGTGAGGGGGTGGGTTGTCTTTGGCGTAGTTCATGTCGAAATCCAACCGTAAGTCAACAGATCTTCTATTTTTTTTTTGTAATTTAGTGAAGCTTCGACAAGGGTGTCTACAGGCCATGAGGTACTGCGGGACTTAGCGGTCGTTTTTCATATAGGGCACAGCATTATATTACAGTATCTGAGTAGTGAAGAATGGTACCATACATACATAACTTCACGCCTGTCTCCCATGGGGGTAGACAGAGACTAGGGAACGCCAATTACTACGATTCCTACATAATTTCGGTACCAAAAATCATAAAATTAAATGTTTTAACATTCAGACACAATTTGTTCATTCCAAACAGTAGATTCGATATGCAGAAGAACAAGCAAGAAACTTCATGGTCATTTTTTTTAAGACTGTATGTTATTGTAGAGCAAAGAGGCGCGGAGGACTTAACGGGTTGCCGAGGCTCTGGCTAGAAGGGTAGGAGTAGGAACAGGGTGGTTTTTAATCACTAAGAGTCTGACACCTCCTCCTGCCTCACCCAGGCGGGAGAAGTAATTCGATCATTTTCTCCCTTTAAAAAAATGGTAGAGCAACGAGTTTGGAACTTTGTATGGACAGTACAAATTGGTTGTTTCTTTGTATTAAGTATTATCAACAAACTATTGAATATAAAGTATCGCTATTATTACTAGTTTCCTTTTCACTACACTTTAGCGTTTTATTAATGAGTCATGGGTGAGCTAAGTAAGTCAGGTACCTTCTTGGAACATTGTGATTCAGATTCTACAGTAATTATCATTTGGTTTGTTTACTCTATTTCCAAAGATAAGGATATTTTAGTATCTTTATTTGCGTCCTACATAGAAGGCTGGTGGAGTTTTGTACAATAAATAAATGGACGTAAGTGCTATTTTTACTTAATAGGATTTAATTCAATTCACTGCGCACTTGTGTCTTAATCGGCTTACTTAGGTCTGAATCTGTTTAGTACGTACTTACCTTATAGTACAAAATGTATAGGACTTTATAAATCCCAAAAAATCCTTGATTTGCGTACAGTATTTTCAACCCTATCACATACAAAATAACACAAAAATTAACTTGTCACGTTCGGAAAGCACTTAACAAAACCGTCAATTCACTGATTCATCGCAGAACTAGTAGAGTATGAACACTGTTATTTTTGAACAAAAAGTCACTGGTTTAGCAGCCCGACACATAACTGTCGACTGAAGACGACACCGTCAGATTAGTTGTGCACTCCTTAGCAAGGCTGACTTGCCAACTAGAGGTGCGTTGCAAAACGTACTGCTCAATATGATATCTGCTAATAGTGCTAATGAGTAACAACTCTATTGTCAGATACGTTATCTATTATCAAGGAAGTGAACTCGATAAATAAATTAATCGAAGAACACTATATTTGGTAATTGTTTGAGTACAATACTTCCTTACTACATTTTAATCGGATGTTAATTACATATGGATTGAGGTGAAGTGATCTTCAGATTTGCTGTGCTAAATTAATAATTATTTCCTTCCAATATCGACATATCTAGGATATTTTGCATAATATCCTGACAGGACAAGCAATGAATAATTCAAAATTTATTCAGAAGTGTCCTCGTTTCTTGTTTGTATAATATAGTATTCCTAGTATATTTGCGGATAAATAATGTATTAGCGTTTTTTGTAAACACCACACAAAGCCAAGTTTTGTTTTTTTCATATTATTAAACAGCTATTAACATAATCAAATCTGGGGGCCTCATCGGTAATCATAACAATAACAAAGCAAAGAGGTTGCATAACTTAGCAATACGAAATACGAAATTGGCGTACGCAATTACATTTTTTAAAACGCGACCATATACAAAGCGTCACGTTATGTGATGTAAACAAAACGTATGACTCATGTTTTTTTTTTCAATTAATATGCGCGATAAACACCGCGCCAGTACAACCGTACGCAGCGTGTTCTCAGTTCCCACGAAGTGATTGCTTCGACACAAAAACGATGTTAGCACAGTGCATTACCTTGAGGTTGTAATTGGATGTACCTCACTACCTACATTTTATAGATTCATCTACACGTTCGCCGACCAACTCAAAAACATAGCATTGTTTTAATGTACACACACACGATTCACATCACTGGCTCGTCCTTGATTCGTAGCTATCCAGCTACTCGGTATTTGCATTGGCATCGTTACTTTATAGAAAATCTTGTTAGGAGCATTGGCTATTAGTCAAAACGAGTTAGAAACCCGTAATTATTACCAAGTCAGACTGGGTGAAATCTGGCACAGTAGTCTAGGTAACGTGTCATAAATAATTACATATTCTTGTAGATCGAGCGACCCCTTGCTTGTCTCAATTAAAGCGCAATAACCCGAAGCGCTCAGCCGTTGGCTGATGAGTCATAGGTCAGGCGAGGTCGTGAGTTCAAATCTCACCCCTTTCGCTTGCTCCCAATTCTAATCGAACTCTATTGCCAAAGAAAAAGCTAAAATTACAGTACATTTTCGAACATTTGCAACATGTTAAAATGTGTCTCTCCAGAATCGTTGACAAATAAGTTGAAATCAGAAAGAAATCAGCAAAAACGTGTCTAAATCTCAATTTACCGTTAAACAGCGTACACCTAAAACACCGTCACAACAACTTGATTTTTACATAAACATGGACGAACGTAAGTGACAGTGAAAGTAGGTGCACCAAATGTGTAGTGTTTCCGCGGACGTTCTAAGGACAGTGACCAGTCGACCGTGGCGATACTAGCAGAATTAGGCATTGGGGGCAGCTGCTATGAATAGCTGCAAAACTCACTACTTACGGTTATCAACCCATTGTCCCAGAGTGGAGCGTGATTATTGTCTTCCTATTGTTGTGTGACACCGACCGGTTTGGTAAATAGCGTACGCTAGTTTATTTAAAAGGACATTGCAGTAACCTTTGGTAAATTGAATGTATTTAGCAAAGACTCTTTGGAAGGCATGACTATGATAACTTTAGAAGATCGAAATTAGCTCATGTAAACTTCTGTAGTTCACAGAAGTTTTAGGAACTTCAACCAATTAATGAATTGTCTCTGCTCTTAACATCAACATTAAAAAACACCGTAAAAATACCTTTTTGTTTATATTTCTGGTAAATTCTGTTTGTTTTAAAAACTTACTGTAAATTCAATGATACGAGACAATGCAAATTAATATTATTATTAAAAGAATGAGGAAATCGAACATTATGTTTGTAGTTCATACGCATTGAATGTTGGTATGTTGTTTTTGTGATATAATTGAAGTGATGCTCTGATTAAAGTTACGAGCATATCCTGGTAATAAAGTGCTATGTAGCAATATATTTGTACTAATTGTATGGGCAATAAAGATGAATACATAGATATACACTTAGTTACTTTGTCGCAAGTCTAATCTTTGGAAATACCAATTCGATAAAAATACGTTGAGCCTGATAATCTCAATCTTTTTAGAGATTATAAAACTAATGTTGAAGACTGTCTGATTCAGAAACGAAATACCGAAAGTGAATCCCCAATGATGGTTTTAAGAAGATAGTCATCAACAGCCTATAAATACCCACTGCTGACCAAAGCCTTTTCTCACACGGAGACGGTTTGAGCATTAATCACCACGCTTGCTCAATGCGGGTTGGCGATTAAAAACTTATAATTAGAAATTATAAGCCCAGATTCCCTCACGATGCTTTCCTTCACCGTTTGTCAGTGGTGTCTAGATAATCTTAGAATGTACATATAACTCTGAAAAAGTCACATTGCTACTTGCCGTTGGTAGGTTTCGAACCCGCACCCTCATGCATGAGAAGCGAGCGTCTTAAACCTCCGGGCCACCACGACCGACAAGAAGATAGTATATGAAGGGTATATTAAAAGAAACTGGCCAATAATAATCGAATGTTAAAAAAAAAACGGTGACAACAGCAAGGTAGGCAAGATTTCGTTGCCGCGGTCAAAGGGTTAGCTTGCTTGACCCGATTTTTTTAAAAACGGAACGTATTCCTTAGCAACAAATCTTGCACAACGCAGCGTAACGTGATAAACCACGAAAATGAATGCTATACGTGTAACAATACAACATAGTTTACGATGATACGGTCGCATGTACGCCTGCACACTGCACACGGTCATTGTGTTTTAATTTCAGTATTGTACTTGCTGTTTATTTTATCTCGATATTGTAATCATATAATTAAGTGAAACGTGACATGCCGTATTGTATTGATTTTTAATACTTGTAATTGTTTACAGGAGAAGTAATAATATTATACGTAGTCCAGTACAAGATGTTAACTGAGGTGTTCCGTCTTCTGTTTAAAGAAGGATTTTTTTAATTTATTATACAAGATGCAGTTTTGAAGCCGTGTCATTTCTCGGGGGCATGTCACAGAAGTCATATAGGTTCAATGTAAGACAAAATTTCGGGTCAATAGTTAAAAATATGGCTATAATAAATCGTTTAAGTTGGACAATATTTCAGAAAAAGCGACAGCAATTCATCTTATTCGAGTTCTATGGAATTAGGAATAATATCAATTACATGTTTGAGTTTGTGTGTGTTAAGCCGCGTTATAAAGCTAGTTACAAGACGGCGGCGTGTAGTTCGCAATTACGGATTTCCGTAAATTACAGAAAAATGAAAAATATTTACCTACTATTTTTTTTATTGATTCGGTCTCAGAATCGATAGCCGAGTTACCTCCTAGAAAATGACGCGGCTTTAAAACAACACCATGTATATGTATATATTATTAAATGTTATTTTAGTGTTATAAACAGGGTGTTCTCCTTTTACACGTGTGGTGTAACGCTCATATAGCCTTGCCTTAATAAACAATTCATACAATTTCAGTCGTCAAATCTACGCCAATAACTGAAACTGCTTTCTTATTTAGGTCAATCTGATTTGCGAATCTGTTACAATAGCATTCACGAATCTATGTTGCGGAAAACAATGTCGCTTTTCGCTTGTTTGTGTCCACAGTTCCATTGATTCTACATAGACAATGTTAAAGGGAGTTTATATCACTACATAGTATAAAACAAAGTCGCTATCCGCCGTGTGTCTGTTCTTATGTATGCTTAGATCTTTAAAACTACGTAACGGTTTTTGATGCGGTTTTTTTTTAATATATAGAGTGATTCTTAAGGAATGTTTATATTTTTTTCTTAAAAATGATACATTCATATTGCACCCGTGTGAAGCTGGGGCGGGTGGCTAGTTCATTAATAAAAACAGTACCAAAGGGACTAACTTATCTATACAAATATTAAAAGAGATTTACCTAGTGCTGTCTCTACATATAATTGTCTACGCGTCTGCTACTGCGCGAAATAAAACACGTGACACCTATGATTAATCGCTTATTGTAGCTTAAACGTTAATTTAGAACACTTCTGTTGTTTGGAAACAAGAAAATAATATATTTAACACACGGTGTAGGCATTGGCAATTCGTTACAGTCTAAAAATGGATCACACATGTCCAATGTGAAACACATTGCGGTGCGCCTGCGACCCTCGCGGACATTCCACGCATTATTGTTTTTTACCCCACCTATTATGGAAATTTGCAATTATTATGCTCATTCATCAAGCCATTTATTACTGAAGCCAGGTGCGTTGTTAATATTCTCATATTTACGTCTTCGTTGTACTTTCTGCTTGATTTTATGCAAGTACCTATAGGAACACTAATGTAATTCGTAGTCGTAGGTTATTGTAACGAGTTTGTTTTACGTTTAAAGTATTCGAAACGAGAACGCGTTCGGCGCACTGATTGGCCGGTGCCAATGAACCAACCAATCAGAGGCCTTAGTACGAGTTTCTTTTTCGTTTAAAGTAATCGAAACGAGACGGCGTTCTGAGTACCAAGCACGAATAACTATCGCATCCGTAACGTAATAGTATCGAGTGCGTTCGGCGCTCTGATTGGCCGGCTCTAGTGAACCAACCAATCAGAACGCTTAACTCGCTCGATACTGTTACGATACGAATGCGATAGTTATTCGTGCTTGGCCCTCTGTGCTCTGATTGGTTGGTTCATTAGAGCCGGCCAATCGCAGCGCCGAACGCGTACTCGTTACGATTACTTTGAACGTAAAAGAAACTCGTACTAAGGCCTCTGACTTCAAAAACGGAGGTTCTCAATTTGATTTGTATGTCTGTATGTATGTTTGTGCGCGCGATTATCTCACAATTGGTTGAACCGATTTCGGTGCGGTTTTCAGAAAAGTGTTTGTTACATAACATAATATCACGCCTTTTTATCCCCGAAGGGGTACGCAGAGGTGCACATTTCGGCAATTAATGCCACTGTACAATGTAACACCCACTTTTCACTATTTATGTAATGAGTCCCATGTAATAGGGGGTTAGCCTATTGCCATATAACGGGCACATTTCCAGTCTCCGTGCTACTACTGAGATTTTTAAAAACCTAGTAATGTTTTGCCTGACCCGGGAATCGAACCTGAGACCCCTTGCCCGGCAGTCGCACTTGGGACCACTCGGCCAACGAGGCAGTATGTTACACTTAGGGAGGTTTTAGAATTTTAATTAACCGACTTATAAAAAGAGAGGGTTGAAGTCGGAATTTTTAAACGTAGTTTATAAAAGAGTTATTGCATACATTAAAATCATACTAGGCCGGTTACCGAGGTACAACGTTATAACACGCAGGGCATTGGCAAAACAAATCGTTTCTCATGTAGGTAATAACGTACTTGCGTAATAAAAGAAGGCACGAGACTATTCTCATAAAATCACAGTAACAAACCTACCATTCCTATTTTACTACAAATATAAACCATACTTGTGGGCATACACTGGAAAAACCACCTTCCTGTACTTTTCATAAAGTATATTGTAGCATGGAACTCACCGTAGCCAGTATTTCGTGACGTTTCCTTGCCTGCAGCATGGTGATCTTCTGCACGTGATCGAGTGCCGTGTGACGGAAACATGATCGCGTCGCCAGCAAGAGATTCATCACCTCCTCCACTTCCATGCATTTGTGGCGAGATACCTGAGCAAAGAGGTTGATATTAATTAATTTGACAAAAAGAAAATAAAACATATTAAGCTTTATGAACTTAGTAATAAAAGTCATTGTACTGTATGAACTATTTAAACTAACTAGTCACCTCTGTTATTCGCAAAATGGCAATATATAGGTCAAGGACGTTGAAAAAAAGGGACATAAAGTCTTAGAAATAATTCAAGCACCAAAATGTAAGTAGTGTATTTATGTGTGCATGTAATTGGGATGATGACAGGGTATGAAAATTAAATATATAATTAGTCCATAAGTTAGGTAATGAAAAAATATTAGACACGTATTTTTTATTTTGTCGTATAATAAAACAATACTTAGATGTAACGAATCAAAGTTTAGGAGTGGGGGCTAAAACGTCATTTCTACGTATAAAATGTACCAAGAAGTGACGTCATGCGACATTTCAAATCAATATATCGTCGAAAGTATTCGTTTCTGTAAGAAAATAAAAAATACGTGTCTAATGATTTAAAATATAGTACCATTTTTTTATTTTTTTTTAAGGGGTGAAAATCATCGAATGGCTGCTACCGCCTGGGTGAGGCGGAAGGGAGTGTCAGACTCTTACTGACTAAAAACCACCCCGTTCCTTCTCCTGCACGTCGAGCCGGAGCCCCGGTTACCCGTTAGGTTCTCCGCGACAAAATATAGTACCATACGGACATTAAAATAAAAATTAGGCATCTACCCTATTGCAACACCGTAATGTATGAAGTGTTGGGCTCGCTGCCATTGCAGCGGTAAGTCCCCTCTTTGAGGAGTGGCTTGAGAGACGCTACGGCGTCCTCACCTACCGCCTGACGCAGGTCCTCACCGGACATGGCAGTTTCGGGAGGTACCTGTGTCTGATGGGGCGGGAGGAAACGCCCGGGTGTCATCACTGCGAGGACCGCCCTGAGGACACGGTGGAACACACGGTGGGAGAATGCCCTTCGTGGGCTGAGCACCGCCGTGTCCTCAGAGAAGTGATCGGCGATGGCGACCTCTCGCGTCCGGGCCTAGTGCAGGCCATGATGCGGAGCGAGGGGGATTGGGATGCCGTCTCCTCCTTTTGCGAAGCAGTCATGCTAGCTAAGGAGGAGGCGGGACGCGTGAGGCAGCGAAGCGCTGCCTCCTCGCAACCCAGCCATCGCGAAGGACACACCGGGCGTCGGGGATCGCGGGACGATCTCCGGCCACCGTAAGCGCGGGCCTGCGGACGGCGAGCATGGGTGGCTCCCCGTCCGACCAGAAACAGACCCGAGCGTATGGCGCGTCGCGTTCCGCGCGCGCCTCAAAGAGCCATCAGACCACCACAGATGGGGCCCAATAGGGCCGATGCCGATTCGGAGTCGCGGAGAACCTAACGGGTAACCGGGGCTCCGGCTCGACGTGCAGGAGAAGGAACGGGGTGGTTTTTAGTCAGTAAGAGTCTGACACTCCCTCCCGCCTCACCCAGGCGGGGGCAGTCATTCGATGATTTTCCCCCCTTAAAAAAAAAATAATAAAAAAAAAAAAATGTATGAAGTGTGTGACGGGTTATGTCAATGTCACACGACAGATGTCCTTCATGTCAATGTGTGTGTATTCTGCATGTAATTCTATAGTAGCCAGGTGCCACAGTCGTCGTTTCAAGAGACTATATCCGCATTTATTTCAACGTCCTTGGCCTAGGTATTTGGATTTGGATGCAAAGAGTTGGTGATCGAGATCAGTGACGTGCTATTGGAAAAGCCATTCAGTATTGGTGCTTTTTTAATAAGAATGTTGTCAAATTTTTGAATGTTTTTATACCTATATTATTATAGGTAGATGCGAATATGTGTATTGGTTTTATTTTATTTATATTACGGTATCAAACGACATTAAAAAAATAATCAACATCAACATTATTATAATTATCTTACCTGTGAATTCCTATTTAAAGCCGTATCGAGATCGTTTGAGATTTTATCAAAGTGATTCTTACTTTCTTTGACACCTTTAATATCTCTGTAACAAACACAATGGTTATAAAATATTTCAATACATTTGTACGCACACATTACTCACGAATAAAGGAAGTTATGAACTGTTATCAATTGAACGCAGTGAATCAACTTTGTAATATGTTTGATACCTATTTCATTTATGTATGAAAATTGAAATCTGTACAAAAGAATTGCCTTTTATTTCTCTCTTTTGTCGCAAGTAGGCAATTGAAAAAAAACCCTGGAACTGATTATTACTTAATTATTTTTACCGATAGGAGTAACACTAGAAACTTATTTCATTACCGACTTCAAAGAGGTTCGGATGATCGTTTATTTCTAAAATATTAGTTATTTTGTATATTGGTCTTGAGCTCTCCCAATTACTATATACAAGCATGAATGCAAGCAAAGCGAGATTTTAAACCTCAACAAAACATACTCGATTTTAAACCTAAACTAAAGGGAATTAATAATTAGATCGGAAATATTTTTCCGGATCCATCCATCCGAAATCTAAGCTTATCACCAATTGTCGATTCCCCCCCCCCTCAAAAAAAGCTTATCAATTGTGATTAAAAAGACTACACAGTGAGATGCGCAGTTATATCTCATCATCAGTACAACAAAATAAACAAGCTCCCTAAAATAAATTAACGACTATCGTCAGTTTTAATGGTCTGACAGAGTAACTGACATAAATCAATGAACTATAAGGTAAATATTTATTTTGTATCTGAGCTCGGAACCATTAAACTATAAATATCAGCACATTTTCCCTTACTTTGTTATTAACGTAAAATAACAATGAATACAACTTAGGAAAATACGAATGTAGCGTATTTTTCTTATATCGCAACTTAGGCGTCACCCATCTTAATATGGGCAAAAAAAAATCATAGTATGCTGAACATTTTTGTCTAGATATTATACTATACTTCATGTTTATTTCTTGGTAATTTGGCTACAAACATAAACATTGATTTAGACATACATACACACAAACTTTCACATTAATAATAGAAATAACTCTAACAACTCTCTTGTATATCAATATGTTGCGTAAGACAGATGATATTAATTCTGTATAGCTGTTTCTCTGTGTTGCATTAACGAAAAAGGGATGGTTTTATAATAGCAACCTTATTACAATTGAGTAAGTTTGATTTTTAAATCACTTACATCGTTATTCAATAAAAAATCTCTTAACGGAGTTGTTTATGAAACATTAAAAACACTATCAATTTTTTGATAAAAAATACAATGGTTAGACATTGTACACAGATAAAGTAACTACATATATAGCTGAACCTCTTTCTAGTGAAATGTTTCATTAAACGCAACTTTAAGGCGATAACAATACAGCACATTTTTATTCTTATTATGTTTCGTTTCACACTATTCCAAGGAGATTGTTTATTATTGAGTGTTATAGTGCACATTCAGTCCTTGAGAACTGTATTGTAGTATGAAAAGAATTTGTTTTGAACTTTATTAACCAGGATTAGGGCTTAGTTTAGTTCTACAATATACATGGTCAAGGGAAGAAAGTAGCATTTATTTTTAAGGGATGAAAATCATTGTATGACTTCTTCCGGCTGGGTGAGGCAGGAGGGGGTGGCAGACTCTTACTGACTAATAACCACACCGTTCCTACTCCGCGGCTCCGTATTGGCATCAGCCTTATTGGGCCCCATCCGAAGAAAGTAGCATTAGAATTGGATTTGTTGGCCATGGCTTTTCAAGAAGGAGAATAAAAATAGTTCCAATTTTTTTTCAATAAAAAAAAAGTCATAAGGACTTTTAACACACATTATAGTAATAATATTTGTTACACTTTCTCAATCAATATGAATAAGGAAATATAGAACAAGGAAATTACTAATTTGTGTGGCATACAGAGAAAATTATATTATTGATGGGTACATTTACTGCTAAAACTTTAGAATTGTAAATCAGGCTCTTTGTATTCCTTAGGGATGTGTCTCAACAAATATTGCACAGTGGAGGATCCAGAGGACCCTTCATCTCTTTATAGGTGTTGATGGTAACCACTGTAGCAGTTTAGTCAGGTAAATATCCTATATTTGTACTTCTTAAAAGCTAATGGCATTTCGAGGGTTCCCCTGACATCTAAAGAGGCTCTTAAAATCTTATATCTTATACTATTTTATGAAGCTAAATAGTTTGTTTGTTTGTATATGCTAATCTCCGAAACTACTAGTCTGATTTGAATCATTATTTTTGTGTTGGATTGTTCATTTATCAAGGAAGCTAGTGGATATAAAACATTAGACTAAGATGAAACCAGAGAAGCTAGTTGTAAATAAAAATACTTACACTTTAATAAAAGCAGTGAGATTCTTGAGCACGGTCCTGGAGACCTGGTCCAGTAGGATGGAGTGGAACTTGTTCATCTCTTGCAAAGAATGGATCATTCTGTTAAGGGTTGCCATCACTGGTGGATCCTCTGCAAAACTCCCAGTCAGGTCCCATAGTGCATTTGTAAATGTGCTAAAGAATTTAACCACATTAAAACCTTCATGCTGCTCTTTTTTTTTAAATTAAGTGTCAGATGTTTTAAGAACACTTAAGAATTCAAATTAAAATATATTTTTATCCCTAATATTGACACCATCTTTGATTTTTTTAAAGATTTGAACACATAAAAATTTAAAAACAAAGTGGGTCATGAGTGCTATAATGAAATAAAAAGGTATGTAGAATAATGCAATTAAAATTCTTTTGCATTAATTTACTTTGAAAAACCTTGATTTGATAATATCACAAAAAAATAACTGATTGTGTTGAAATGGTTTCTTTCTGCTAGATACAACTTCAACAGCAATATAACATTAATTTATAAGGCACTTGATCAATACTATACTTAAAATGTCTCTCTATACTTAAAAACCTCTTTTTCAACAAAAAATCAATCAAAGTGATGATACAAGAAAAAATGCAATTTTCTTTTGTTAATTCATATTGGTTTTTAATATTATTGTAGGTTTTTTAAGATAATAGCTAAGTAGTGACTATAGATATGGATATGTTTGGGTAAATAAAGAGATTATTAATGTAGATAATAATTAGGATGTCATTAAATGTTCTTATCAATTGGGTTTTTAGTGTTTAACTAAAGTACTGGTGACATAATGATAACTTTAGGAACCAGTCTTATAGGTTCATTTTATGAATATAAGTTCATTACAATAGAGTACTCTGAACAATAACAATGTTGTAACGCGAGAATTTTAATGCCAGTTAACGAAATATTGATCTATGAATACGGAAGTAGCGCGCTGTGTGAGAAAAACTATACAAATAAAAAAGAAAGGAGTACAATCCTCACCCTCTATGACTCATGTAGATTTTACCAGAGTCTATCATCACAGAGCATGCTTTGAGAACTTTATCGAGCTTCTGCTCCAATGAATCGATGCTAGCTTCTTCAGTTTCCAGCTGCTCCCTACAATAACAAACAGGATGGCTTATACAACAATTATCACGCACAACACGTACAAAATTTCACTTTCTATGAATAACTTTCATTGATCACTATAATCACAATACCTAAATTTTGGAGAGTCTCTCAAGCATTCATCGAAATCTATTAGTGGCTTCATTTTCACTAAAACTTTATTTCACTGAATAGTTTACACAAATATTTTATTTCATTTCCACACAGAACACAAAAACCTATACTTATTATACTCTTTGCACAAAAACTTCACACTCTTCTCGTAGTAGTATTTTTGACATGACATGACACTGACAACTAGTGATGTATTTGACATGTGCAAACCTACAAGATGTAAACAATAATACGGTTAGTCGAGTAGTCAGTGTATCAATTGCTTATTCGATTATTGTGCGTTTTACTCACTGATATGACAAGACTAGTTTTACTCTTTTGTTAATTACATTATTCTAAAAATATTTGGATATATTCGTACTTGTACATAATAATGAAAAACCATCTGTGCAAACTATTTACTGTGACTGTGATTATATTTTATGTATATTATGAGATTAGTTGTTAACAGACATCCTTGAGACAATGGAATACATATATAATTATATTATCTCGTAAAATTCTGAAATTAGTGTACAAAGTTATCCGTTATTATAATAGAATACCTCATGCCACTTCGATAGCAGTGGCCATTTAGTTACATACAAGATATTCTATGTAACCAAATTAGCTATATTAAAACATTTGTATAAATAATCAAATACAAGGTGAAATGCAATGAAGATGTATTATACAAAGGTGAAAAAGTTACAAAAGGCAAACATCAAGGTCTTCATGCATATCTAGTCGGCATCGATAAAGTAATTTTTAGTAGTGGTATAAATATCCAACGTGCAACACTAATTTCATATTTGATTGATAATAAGAATATGAAGTTGAAGTTTCAAACAAAATAAATGGGTTACTTTGTGTGAAAATTAACACCGGGCTTAAAACTTTCACCAATTTATTTTAAAATATTTGCTTAAATTTTCCTTTTCAAATTGTTCATTACAATGAAAACAAGTAGTATGTAATATAAATTGTTCAGTACTCTCGTCCTGTTCATTTTAAATATATTGAATTTTTAAATACTGTGTCGGAAAGCTGGTGAAAGTAAAAAATGGCTCAAAATAAGAAAATTTTGAAAGATGAACATTTAATTACGGTCCTTTTGTGTGCCCTTGCAATACCCTTATCGATGTCTATGTGGATCATCAACTTAATTTATTCAAAATTCATAACAACAAACGAAGGTTTTGATGGTAATATACTTTATTTACTTATCTTAGTCCGCGAACTTTGAACTTAAACAACATAGCGATAATCTGTATCATTTACCTATACGAATTCATGAAGATTTAATGCATATTTAAATAGCGCTTGTAAGAAAATATATTTCTTTCAGAACCAGTAGTGATATCTCCTGGAAGATGGCTAGCTTCGTGTCTGATACCACTCATTATTGCTGTGCATGGATACAGAAAGAAAAGTGTATCTCTAAATGGGGCTGTCCTTGGATGTGCATTAGCTTTTATTTTAACACTCAGCAACTACTCATTCCTGGCCTGCCTTATAACATTCTTCATATCATCATCAAAAGCCACAAAAGTTCGACCACATATAAAAAGGAAGATAGAGGAAGACTTCAAAGAAGGTATGAGTTTTATTGATTTATTTTCATTAAAAAAAATATTATAAAAAATATTCTTAATGTCTATATTTATGGTCATTCCAGGTGGGCAAAGAAATTGGGTACAAGTTCTCTGTAATGGAGGAATGGCTGCACAACTCGGTCTTTTGTATCTATTGGATGTTGGAGCATCTGAACGGCCAATTGACTTTGTCGGTGATTACAGAGCTTCTTGGCTATCCATCGGAATGCTAGGTAAGTTTGCCAGTCTTTTAAAAAGTATAAAAATCAAGTATCTATTAATTATTTTATATTTTTTTATGACATTGTAATTATTTCAGGTGTATTTGCATGCTGCAATGGTGACACTTGGGCATCAGAATTAGGAACAGTTTTTTCGGACTCTGACCCATACTTAGTCACTACTTTTAAAAGAGTTCCTAAGGGTACAAATGGAGGTATTAGTGTGATTGGTACAGTGTTCAGTACATTGGGAGGTCTAGCTATCGGCATATCACAATATTTAACAATTTATTACTTTTCTGAAAAATCTCTATGGACCTATGCACCTCCTCAGTGGCCTATTATTTTCTTTGGCGCCCTTGGAGGATTTCTTGGAAGCTTCATAGATTCTGTAATGGGAGCAACATTGCAATACTCAGGTAAATAATATAGATAAAAGCAGTGTTTTTATATACTAAATTAACTAAAATCGCGGGTTGGCTGCGCGACATCACCGCGACTGCGCACGCTGCTCATGAGGAAGAACCCCTCTGTGGTTCGAAACTAGTAGAGCTTTTCTCAGTACATTCACGTGAGTAACCCGCGATTTTTAGGTAATACAGATAAAGCAGATTATAGAACATTACTTTTTGAATTAAAACATTAATTTGATATATATCACTTCACTTGTTTCACTTGTTGCAGGATTGGATAAAGATGGCAAGATTGTGTCGCACTCTAGTCTCACAGTAAAACATATCAGTGGAAGAAATATTCTAGACAATCACAGTGTAAATCTCATATCAACTGTTATAATGGGGTTACTATTACCCACAGTGTGCAAAAGTTTATGGCCTCTTTTCTAATTTAAATAAATTAATTTAAAGATATTATGTTATAGGGCTGTTTGTTAAGTCTTATCCAACCGCATGATGCATAGGAGGGCAATGTGTTCATTTTTATGGGTGTATCTAAATGTTGTAGTTTGAATGGGAATTTTAAGTCTGTAAAAAATATTTATTTTCATATTAAGATTTTATGTACCTAGCTAGACAGCTAAATATTCGTGAATAAAACAAACTAGAAAGTTTGGTATTGTGCCAATGTGTTCTTTGGTCGCTGGCATTCTAATGTACTTAGTGAAGATGAATGGACAATAATTTTTTTAATGAGTTTATAGTCATTTACATTTTCATATTCTTAAATATTATTTGGTTAATAAAACATTTTATTAAAAATGTTGCCGAGTTATCATTTCCTCTTTTCCTTGTTTGCGTTTGGAATTACCTCATTAGTTAAAATCATCATCATAATCATCATCATCAGGGTGCCAGAGTTTTACCATAGTCTGCATGCATGGCGTGTGGCTTAGGCATCGCAGTGGCACTTGCAGTCACCGTAATTTTACAGAATGCTGATGCTGCTGATCATATCAGGGTGGCTGAGATGGTTAAATAAAGATTATCAATTAAGAATTACTTAGATGCTTACATAAATTCAGTGTCTTAACCAAGTTAAACTGAATTGAAAAAGTCACAATAATTTTGCATTAATATTGATAATAAAACGTAATATATTAAAGATCACAACGTAATGACAAAGGAACCTATTTATCTGTCATTTTAGTGTCAACTTGAATTTTGAGCTGTCATGTCACTGTCAGTTGCTTAAACGAAACGAGAAGCGAGTTCTTTGTTTACGAACAAATTAAATAAATCTCCAACAAAAAGTCTATGCAGTGACTCATACTGGAACTGCAGTGTAACAGATTTTTAACGCAACTTCCCAACAATTGTGTTAGATGATATAAAGTTCAGTGACAAAGGTTCAATTTAAGTAACAATATTAGTGCGGAATGGTGTTGATATTGTAATTTAGAACGTTAGAATGGCATCGTCAGCAGAGGAAAGTCCGATTATAAACTCGGATATAGAAAATGATGTTACGAGTAGCCGTCGGAACTTGGTGGAGGCGGAACCAGGTAAGGTTTTGTTATGTTTACTCGACCTTAGAACAATACGCGCATTTTTATCTAACTTTAAAGGTCATATTAAATCCAAGTTCGTAATACAATGGTGAACACGCGCAACAGAAACGCGTACGTATAAATACTAAATTAGGATTTATGTTTATGATCATCTCTATAGGTAATAAGTTAGCCTAGTCACGACATTTCTAAATTAAACTACCTAGCGTAGTGCTATTGTTTGTGGAATATTATGAATTGTTGGAACTAGAAATTATGTCGTCCGTTTCACAGATAAATAAATAAACAAATTTTTACCATAATAAATACTCATGTCTAAAACATTTTAGTGGAAGAAACTACAGGATGGATCAAGTGTCGAACTGTGCTTGGCATTATGGGATTCCTGGGTTTTGCCAGTGTGTATGCCATGAGAGTGAATCTCTCAGTGGCTATAGTGGCTATGGTTAACTCTACAACACCTACACCATCCAACTCATCAGATGTTGATGTTTGTCCAGCCGGTCCAAGCAGCAATAGTTCTGTACCACAGGTAATATATATTTTAATTTAATCTATGATTTAAAGATATCATTTCTATGATATTATCTTATTGCTAGACATCACTTCTAAGATTCCTAATACAATTGCAAGTAATTTGTTTACATATATCATGTTTGTTTTTATTATGAGTTTCAGGCAAAATAGGGTAACAAGCTAAACAAAAATAAAACATTAAACCATCCTTTATAACACTTTTAATATTATTGAAACTACAGATGTCAGTAATGTTTATCTTAGGAATTATCCATTAATATTGAAGCTGTTATTTCACACATTATAATACTGTAGTCAGTAATAAATAACATTAGTACAATATCAATAAATTATTTTTATTGAGTCACAAGATAATCAAAATAGTTTTAGTTTAACTAATACAAGTTTTTATTGAGTACCTAAGATCATAAACAAAAGCTTTAAAATTTGTTTCAGTGACTCATAGATGAGTGTAAGCATAGATTATAAATATTATTTCCTTTTGTTATAGAGGCCTGGAGATTTCAACTGGACTGTACAACAACAAAGTATTGTTTTAGGCTCATTTTTCTATGGATATGTACTTACCCAGGTAACAAATTTTGAAATAAAGGAGTAACTTACAATTCATTAAAAATAATGCATTCCAAATTCCAATCATTACAGTTTGTATAGTAAACGGCATAGAGTTAGTAAAATATTGTTCAAATTTAAACCTTATTACTTTGTTTTTAGATCCCAGGAGGAAGGATAGCGGAAATGTATGGAGGCAAACTAGTGTATGGTCTAGGGATATTTTTCACCGCAGTATTTACAATTTTAAGTCCAATCGCTGCATATACAGATATTTCGTTCTTCATTGCTGTCCGTGCTCTGGCTGGTTTAGCCGAAGGTGTTACTTACCCAGCGATGCATGCTATGCTAGCAAGATGGATTCCTCCATTAGAAAGATCTAAGTTTGCAGCTTATGTATATGCTGGTATGTATTATCTAATAATTAATTTAACAATTGTCTTCAAAAGTAATTTAAATTTATTCTCTACTTATGATAATGGTACTCTGTTTATGTATTAGTGCATGTTAATTTATTCAGTCTAATTCATAAGTATGTTATTATTTTATGTTTTGCTTCCTTAAATTATGAGAATATTGTTGCACAGACAAAGAAAATTATTTGTATTTAGATATAGATGAGAAAAGTGGTGGGCAAAATTTTCTAACGGGTGGAAATGAATTTTTTAGTACTTTAAGAGGGTCAGAGTTACAAATGAGAAAAAAAGCTATTTTAGAGGCTCATATTCATGAGCAGCATTCCGCATCGTGAATCGCGCTTGAAACTAGTCGAGTTCCTCGACAAAAAAACCTTTTTGTAATACATCACCCACAACACAGTACAACAGAACTTGCCAACTGCAACATAATTAAAAAAAAACTATACTGTCAATCTATTCATTTTTATAAGAATGATTCTATTAATATTTGTTTCCATCTTTTGCGGGTCATAGTCAACCCATTGTCGTAGTTAACGTCTCAGTAGCCAAGACTTGATGATTTATTCCCATTTCAGGTTCAAACATAGGCACAGTGATTACATTACCTATATCAGGATGGCTGTGCACCCTAGAGTTTGCCGGTGGATGGCCACTCTGTTTCTACATTTTTGGCGGTATTGGCGTCGTATGGTTTATTTTCTGGCTGTTACTTGTCTATGACACACCACAGAAACATCCCAGAATTTGTCCAAAGGAGATTGAGTATATTGTTACTACTATCGGACCTCAGGTGAGTTTGAACCTAATATTTGTGTACCTATTTAATAAGTAGGTATTCGCCTGCATCTTCATTTGTGGTACCTACTCAAATTACACAATATATTTCACAATAATTAAAACTACTGGTCATACCTTACACCTGACAATATGTATGAATATGTAGTAGTTTTTTTTAACTAAAATCACGAGTTACTCATGTGAATATACTGAAAAAAGCTCTACTAGTGAGCTGCGCGACGTCGCTGCGACCGCGCTCGCTGCTCATGAGGAAGAACCCCTCTGTGGTTCGAAACTTTTACTTTAGTTAATTTAGTATGTCTCACGATAGTTATTATAAAACCAGTAGTTTTTTAGATGTGATTTAGTTAGGATTATGTTTCAATGATATATAAGAGATAGAAAATATGCTTCTTTCAAAATCAAGACCTCGAAAGTCTTAGTCTGACTTAAATTCGGTAAAATAACATTTCAATAACCGAGGTCAAGGAAATGTTATCTCTGAAGGAAGATAACATAATAACATATGCTTAGGCAATCTTTTTGAAAAATAATTTGTAGTTATACCTATTTCAGAGTATGTATGAGGTTCTAGGTTGGTCCCAATCCAAGATAAGGCTAGTTAGATTAGTCAATTTTGAAACAGTAACATGAAAAATCAGATGAACAGAAATACTATTACGTTTATGCTTCGACCAGCAACATTTATTAAATAATTCAAAGAAAAATTGTAATTAATTAGTGGTAAATTAAAATCTAAACGACTATTCAATACAATTATGGATTACGTTAAAGTATGCCAGTTTGCTCAGTTATCAGAATGTGGGACAAACATGAGTCACTACACAGTTCGACCTCACAGATGTTTTGTTGCCGTACCTACTTACTACTTATACATATACATTCTGTATATCTGCATGTATGTAATATTAGCGCTAAATACTGCATGTTGTCTGAACTCTGAACAATGACTCTTAAGTTCCCCGAAGTGAAAAGTGCTTGATTAATAAGTAGGTATTTAGGATAGGTAAATAATGGGGTAAATTATTACAGAACAGAACATCACGCCTTTTATCCCCGTAGGGGTGGGCAGAAGTGCACATTACGGCACTTAACTCGTCGAGTACCGGTTTTATAGACACAATTAAAGAACAATAGGTCGCGGTCACCGGTGACCGCTTGGTGTTTGACAGTTTAATTAATGCCTTTGTACAATGTAATATCCGCTTTTCACTATTTATATTATGAATCCCATGTAATAGAAGGTGAGCCTATTGCCATATACCGGGCATATTTCCGGACTCCGTGCTATTACTGAGATTATTTTTAAAGACCCAGTAATACTGTGCCCGACCCCGGAATCGAACCCAAGACCCCTTGCCCAGCAGTCATACTTGCGACCACTCGGCCAACGAGGCAGAGTAAATAATTGGGTCTGTGGTGTATATTAACTTATGAGTACAGGACATAACTGTAAAATGGATTGTGAATTTCTCATTATATTAAGTAATGTTGCAATTATCATTGATATGTAGCTTGTAATTGATGTGTAATTAACTGTGATTTACGTACAAGTAATTAAACGCTAATAACTATAAATGTATTGACGGACCCCGGACACAGGACATAACGCACTCGCGTCTTACACTCTTTTTAATAGAGAATCCGTACGTTTAGCTTACTCTTTTGTTTCCGAAATAAGTGTAAAGTAAAAAGATTGTGTATGGCAATAGGGTAGACGACTAATTTTTATTTTAATGTCCGTCTGGTAGATTATTTAAAAACATTAGACACGTTTTTTTTCTTTTCTCACAGAAACGAATAGTTTCGAAGGTATATTGATTTGAAATGTCGCGTGACGTCACTTCTCAGTACATTTTAGGTATACTAAGAAATGACGTTTTAGCCCCCACTCCTAAACTTTGATTCGTTTTATCTAAGTATTGTTTTATTATACGACAAAATAAAAAAATACGTGTCTAATATTTTTTCATTACCTAACTTACGGACTAATTATATTTTTAATTTTCATACCCTGTCATCATCCTCATTGGCAATAGGCTCATCCCTTATTACAGGGGACTAATAACATTACATGAAAAGTTAAACCAACCCTATCAACGATGTCGCAGAGAACCTAACGGGTTACCGGGGCTCCGGCTCGACGTGCAGGAGAAGGAACGTGGTGGTTTTTAGTCAGTAAGAGTCTGACACTCCCTCCCGCCTCATCCACGCGGGAGCAGTCATTCGATGATTTTCCCCCCTTAAAAAAACCTATCAACGATTAATGACGTCACGTTATTTGTTGCCTAAAGTTTTGTTTTTATTGTGTCGTAATCGGAACTTTTTTGACGTTGATATGATCCGATATTGATTAGTCAGTGATGTCGAAGTGTCAATGAACTTCTGTGCATGGAATTGATATTGACAACTGACGCTTATGTCAGTACCCTTCATTAACATTTCTATTGTATTTAAGTAATAAATGTTTGTTAAAAACAAATGACTGTCTAGTAGGGCCACAGTTAAGGCATAGATAGAACACAAATATGATATAACTAGCAACTTCTGCGCGGTTTCAACCGCTCTGCTCGGCTCCTATTGATCCTAGCATGATGTTTTATAGACTATTGCCTTCCTTGATAAATACACTATCCAACACAAAAATAATTATTCTAATCGAACCAGTAGTTCCGGAGATTAGCTCGTTCAAACAAACAGACAAACAAACAAACTAATAAGTATAAAATCATAAAATAAACTTTAAAAAATTTAGTCCTAGAAGAAATGACATGATATCAGTTATTATTTTTTGTTTTCAGCAAGAAGATAAACCTTCGTCATCAATACCTTGGCTGAAGTTCCTGACCTGCGTCCCTCTGTGGGCCATTCTCATAGCGCAGTGTGGCCAGGCTTGGGTGTTCTACACCCAGTTCACGGAACTACCCTCTTATATGAACAATATACTACACTTTGATATTGTAGCTGTGAGTATAAGTGTAAATAATGTATTAAAATACAGATTGGTGTAGAGCCGTTAGCATCTTCAGGTTATTTTTATTAACTAAGTCCGATTTCTGCGTATTCCGTCCGATTTTGTATTTGGGTACTTGCCTTCATCAAAACATAATTATTTCGACTGTTCAATACAATAATATATAAAAAATAATCACACTATCATTAATTAATTTAATAAGATTTTATGACCAACTTAATTTTAGTATTTTGATGCTAAAAATCGTGACGTAAAAATACACAATCTCGTACAAAATTCATAGAAAACTGTCGTTTTTGACAGTTCGAAAAAAGTGTTGAATTTGACTAGTTGGAAAGTACCCAATGAATTTAGTTACACAGGCATTGCCTTTAAATCGTCATCTTCTACTGTGAAATGAATAAGTCATATTCCATTGTCAAATTGGATGGATTACTACATTATCTTTTAAGAGAAAGAAGCAACTGACTGCCTCGATGGCCGAGTGGTTGCAAGTGCGACTGCCGGGCATGGAGTCTCGGGTTCGATTTCCGAGTCGGGCAAAGTATTACTGGGTTTTAAAAAAAATCTCAGTAGTAGCACGGAGTCTGGAAATGTACCCGGTATATTGCCATATACCGGGCACATTTCCAGACTCCCCCCCTATTATATGGGACTCATAACATAAATAGTGAAAAGTGGGTGTTACTTCTGTGTGCACCTCTGCCTACCTCTTAGGGGATAAAAGGCGTGATGTTATGTTATAAAAGAAAGAAGCAACTGACTATATGGCCTCTATTTGCAGAATTCAAGACTGAGTGCCCTGCCATACCTGACTGCGTGGCTGGGCGGCATATTGCTGTGTATATTCGCTGACTGGACGCTCGCCAAGGGATGGATATCCAGACTTAACAGTATGAAACTCTGGAACACTGTCTGTGAGTAGAAATTATTTATAATTTGGTTTTTCCAATAAGGGAATCTCTCCCAAGGTCCAACAGATGACACCAATGTAGCATTAGGTCCTGTCCAATTGAGGATTTCCTTGTGTTATACTACCGGACAGTACTATTTTTACAGCTACAGTGATTGTGCAAATATGACTTAAGTCTACACTCCTCGTTGATCGACTGACTCGTTGGCTGAGTGGTTGCTAGTGCGGCTGCCGGGCAAGGGGTCTCGGTTTCGATTCCCGGGTCGGGTAAGGTACAACTGGGTTTTTTTAACTACTGAGATTTTTTTTAAAAAACCTATTTAAACTTGGCCTGGCCCGGGTATCGAACCCGAGACTCCTTGCCCGGCAGTCGCACTTGCGACCACTCGGCCAATGAGGCAGTTATGTCCATGTTTTGTATTTGAAATTATTAATATTTGTTACTATCGACGGACGTAATGCGGCTAGATCAAGTCGATTTAGAACATAGGTTATCTAGACTAGCGTGCAGATAAACGTATCCAAGCGCTTAGAATTAATAATATCTATATTTATATGCCTACCTATACTTAGTAACTATGTGTTGCCTATAGATATTATTGATTTCCGTGGTATCTTAGTATGCGTGTACTTGATGTATATGGATATGCCCTTAATGTACCTAGTTAAAACAATTTCCCTCTGACTTTGTTAATAAATCTGATTAAGATTATTGAATCTTATCTTATACTCTTATACTATTATATAAAGCGGAAGAGTTTGTTTCTTGTTTGTTTGTTTGAACGCGCTAATCTCCGTAACTACAAGTCTGATTTGAATAATTCTTTTTGTGTTGGATAGCGCATTTATCGAGGATGGCTATAGGTTATAAATAATCACGCTACGACCAATAGGAGCTAAGCAGATCGTGTAAAACCGCGCGGAAGTAGCTAGTATCGAATAAAATGAAATAATCGAATAACTTTGACTGCCTCGTTAGCCGAGTGGTCGCAAGTTTGACTGCCGGGCAAGGGGCCTCGTGTTCTATAAAAAAAATCTCAGTCGTAGCACCGGGTCTGGAATTGTGCCCGGTATATGGCAATAGGCTCTCCTCCTATAACATGGGACTCATAATACAAATAGTGAAAAGTGGGTGTTACATTGTACAGCAGCATTAAGTACATCTCTGCCTATTAATATCTATTACCCATTCGAGGATAAAAGGCGTGATGTTATATTGAATAACAAATGTCAATTTTACTCTACAGTTAAGAATTATCTATTGTTTAAAAAGTCGACCCTTAACAAAGCAATTGAAATGAGAAGATTTTCTTTAGTATCCTTATACTAATATTATAAATCGGAAAGTGAGTTTGTTTGTTTGTTTGTTTGTTTCGACTTCACGCCGTAACTACTAAACCGATTGCATTGAATTTTTGCAGACGTAAAGTTAGTAGTCGGGATTAAATAATAGGGTACTTTTTATCCCGAAAAAAATTGATATTCCCGAGGAAAAACAAAAGTATTGGTATAGATGGCGCTGTGTGTATTGGTATATGTCACAAAGGCTACTTTTTATTCTTTTGTGACGCGAGCGAAGCCGCGGGTAAACGCTAGTAAACTGTTGCCCTCGACTTATTTCTAATGACTGATGGTTTTGTTTCACAGCGGCATTTATCCCAGCGTTTGGTCTGCTTGGTATCGCGTGGGCTGGCTGCGACAGGATCGCTGTCATACTCCTGCTGTGCATCACATCGGCCTTTGGAGGTGCTGCGTATGCCGGTGAGTTGAGAAATAGATCTTGTGTGGATTTGAAGATGGTATGACATAATTGCAATGCGATAATAATTAATCTAACTAAAATCACGGGTTACTCATGTGAATATACTGAGAAAAGCTCTTCTAGTTTCGAACCATAGCTCACTGATATGTGAGTGATCGGTAGTGAGCTGCGCTACGTCGCCGCGACCGCTCACGCTGCTCATGAGGAAGAACCCCTCTGTGGTTCGAAACTAGTAGAGCTTTTCTCAGTATATTCAAGTGAGTAACGTAGTTAGTATTTCCAACCCACAAAAAACGCCCTTGTTCACGGGGTATGCAGAAACTACATACTTATTTAGCGTCCATTACATTCATACCTACATCAAATCTATCTATTTAATCCGGTTTATTTTTCTTCATAACTAAAATACTGCACTTTTAACGCAATGAGGATGCACAACAAACAAACAAAAAGTAAATAATGATAATGCTGATAGTGAATGAATGATTAATTGATTAGTACAGTTTACTTAGCGGGCATGACCTCATGACCTTGCTACAAAGACAGCTGATTTTCCGCTCTATTGGCTGCGTCATTGCGTACGCTGCGTAGAGGAAGTATTTAATGTGATTAGTGATTACTCTAGAGAAGCGAACCTAATAACTGGTAACCAGCATAATTTCTAACTAAAGAACCAGTGCCTTTAGCCAAACGCGACTTTAGCGCTTGTCTACAAAGAGAGTAGAAAACTAAATGTATGGTGATGACATCGACAAGTGTCAAAATTTACGTCAATTCCATATAATTTGTTTTTCTATTCTAAATGTAGACAAGCGCTAAATGGCATTTGGCTACAGCCGCAGGTTCGATTCTTTATTAGGGCAATTAAGTTGTTTGTTGTAAAAAACTTTTGAGATTTTCGAAGTCGAAATACTTGAATCAGTTTTACGGAGTCAACTTGTGTTTACTTTTTGTAACAATTAATTTTGACTGTAAAATAAAAGAAAATGTAATTGAATGACAAGGGCACGGACAAGAGTCCGTGGAGAAAAAGCAATCTAATATAATAAAACTGTGTTTACTGTGTAATAACAGACAAGCCCCATAGTATAGTCAAAAGAATTACGTAACTGCCTAACTGTTATAGTTAGGGTAGAAACAGACGTCACGTCAGTGCTTAACCCACTCTATGAAAATTCTACAATAAACTTTATTTAAAAAACAATAAGGTCGAATTTTGCTGACGTAGTACTTTTTTCCTTATCCCTTCTTGGAATAAGTAAGCATATTATATTACATACTAATATATTGTTACAGGTAATCAAATGAACCACATCGACCTGTCGCCGCAGTTCGCGGGCACTATGTACGGTATAACGAACGCTGCGAGCAACATCTGCGGGTTCATGGCGCCTTACGTAGTCGGACATATTATTAAGGCAGAACAGGTAATATATATCTTGTTTTTATTTGAGACTAGCTTTTACCCGCGGCTTCGCTCGCGTCACAAAAGGATAAAAAGCCAATGTACACAGCGCCATCTATACCAATACTTTTGTTTTCCCTCGGGAATATCAAATTTTTCAGGGATAAAAAGTACCCTATTATTTAATCCGGACTTCTAACTTTACGTCTGCAAAATTTCAAAGCAATCGGTTTAGTAGTTACAGCGTTAAAGTGGAACAAACAAACAAACAAACAACCAAACTCACTTTCTGATTTATAATATAAGTAAGGATTTTTTAGGAGGAACAGCAAACAGTGGCATTAGGTAAACTTATAATAATTATCCAGTGCTATAACTGCCTGCCTATGCTATGACTGCCTCGTTGGCCGAGTGGTCGCAAGTGCGACTGCCGGGCAAGGGGTCTCGGGTCGATTCCCGGGTCGGGCAAAGTATTACTTGGTTGTGCCCGGTATTACTTGAATGTGCCCGGTATATGGCAATAGGCTCAGCCCCTATTACATGGGACTCATAACATAAATAGTGAAAAGTGGGTGTTACATTTGTACAGTCAAATCAAATCAAATCAAATCAAATCAAATCGTCTTTATTGTACAGTGGCATTGAGTTCCGAAATGTGCACCTCTGCCTACCCTTTGGGGATAAAAAAGCGTTATGTTATGTTATGTTATGCTATAACTGCACGGTTGGCTCTTGTCCAACGTGATAGTGGTTCAATTCCCGCATTGAAAGTCTGGGTGTTTTTTGTATGTGAAATTATGTTTGTAAACGCATTCACGCATTCCGAGAGAAAAGCCCAGTCCACATTTAAAAAAGTAACAAAATTATATTTTGGTTAAAATCATCTTCAGACATGGAATCAACCCTCATGGAATCAATCATAACACGCTCCGTTGCGACATGAAAAACGGAAACTTATACTTTATTCGTTTGTGTTTCACAGCAAACGCTGGGACAATGGCGCGAGGTGTTCTACTTGGCAGCAGCAATTGATCTAGGCACTAATCTGTTCTACTTATTCTTCGCGAGCACTGAGGAACAGGTAATTTTAAGATTCAGGAAAAAGTATTTTAATTAAAGGCCTTATCTTTTGAAGGGTTGATGATCGCTTACCATCAGCTCTCGTCTGCCTCCTACCCTATATGAAAACCTTAAAACTGTGACATTGTCGTGAGTATTGAGATTTATTGGACTGAGATATTTTCTCATTTCTTCAAACGCTTTGCAGATTGAGACGAATTTGTCTAGTCTAGTAATAAATAAATTTCGGCTTACATACGTAGGTAATTATTTGACGAGGAACTCGACTAGTTTCAAGCCATGCTAGAGGCTCATATTCATGAGCAGCATTTCGCGACCCGCGACGCGGCGACTGTCGCGCTGCTACTGTAGTAGTTACTGTAAGCATGGCTTGAAACTAGTCGAGTTCCTCGTCAAATAATTACGTGAGTAAGCCGAAAACATAATAATTTATTTAGTATGTCTCATGAAAGTTATAATACAAGTGTAGTAATAGTGTTAAAATAGTACTGCTTCACACATTACTTCGAGGAAAACATAAGATTTTTTATTTGTTTCGCAGGATTGGTCGCGTTCGGAACACGATGACTTGACGGCCCCGGCGCCTGTTGAAAGCATTCTCTTCCCCGAATCATAGACAAGTCACAAAACGAAGACGCTGGAGTAGACAATACTTGTTGCGACTAAAAACTCTTTCGTCGCTACAGGGTTTCACGTTTGTATTGTTTTCGGAATATACTTTAAAAATATTAATTTATCTATCAACAACAGATCTAAAGATTTTTTGTGGTTCTCAAGTTAAATGTCTATTTCACTTATTATCGAAAGCTATTGCAATATTAATCGACAATAATATTGAGACTTAATTGTAAGCTTGAAAAAATTAGATTAATACTTTTTTATTAGACTTAAAAGTCCTGGTGACTTGTCAAAGGATAATATTTTTTTTTCTATTTTCAAAATTCACAGTGAGCTAGAATCATGCCTGGTGTATGGTGACAGCTTTGTTTCTTATTACATGGTATGCCCATAGCACACGGCGTATACATATACACGCTTCATACGAGATTTGAACGTAACCTTGTGACCCAAGCCCCGGGGCATAAATACGGCTCTACTGAGTGTAAACGTGCCGAGCGTAAAATTTTGTCTAACCAATGCCAATCTCTAAGATCTTACTCTGACTTTACTGAAAATCCTGTGATAAAAATGACAGTTGAAGACGGTTTTATTTAACAGCAATAATTAAACTCTTGTTGTGTTCTCCTGTGTCGTGGGTGCGTTTACAAACACACCATTTGCTAACAACAATTTGTGGTTCACGAAAAAATATACCGTAAGAGAATCAAAATTTGTCCCTGTGAAAACTATAATTCATTCATTCAACATTCCCAGTATTGTAAAATCGAATAAAAAATTCAAAACCCACTTTTTTACTTCGGCCAATAAGAATAAGAACAAAAGTCAAAAGTCAAAATCATTTATTTCAATTAGACCAGAATGGCACTTTTGAACGTCAACAAAAAAATTATTAAAAGTGAAGCTATTTGCTCATTCCAAGGTATAAATTCCTATGGAGAAGAACGAGCAAGAAACTCCATGGGTTATATTATCCTCCTCCTCCTCCATAGGTTATACTCCACAAATATATAAATTCAATATTTTATTCAGTGTTTATTATTTTGTTACATTATTACGTTATTGATCTTCTAATGGGTCTGTCCTACTTGCGTCAAATCTCGTTCGCTTCCAAAGGATCGATGTCTTATGGACTAGAAATAAAAAGACAATAATCACCACTAATATGTAGACGACTATTAACGTAACTAGCGCCATCTATGCTACGATTACGAGAATAATATATGTGATCTTAATTACGGTGTCTTTTTAAAGGTGTAATATTGTAATAAAAAATAAAACCAATTTCAAATATGTATCTAATATTATAATAATAATAATGATACATATACATGTATGAAGAATACTTATGGTGCTCTTAATATCACAAAGTTTAATAACTAATTTATCTGTAATGAAAATCCTAATATAATTATTATTGTTTACCATTTATAATAGAACTCAAAATATTAGTTTCCACAACAATGATAGTTATTAAGAAATATAACCTGTTTACTACATTTCCAAAATAAATAGAACTTTAATATCACCTGAAAAACGATGTAACCTAATTTCCATTTGTACATAAAGCTTAAAACTTCCATACATTTCGAAATAATTTTTTTTTTTTTTTTTTTTTTTTTTTTTTTTTTTTTTTTTTTAAAAACGTTGCCCCACACTAGGATTTTCTCCTGTGTCGTGGGTGCGTTTACAAACATACAAGTTCACATACACAATGACACCCAGACCCGAAACAACAATTTGTGGATCACACAAAGTGTTGTCCCGTGCGGGAATCGAACCCGCGACACGTTGCACGGCAGCCGGTTGCCCAGCCACCGCACCAACCGTGCAGTCAATTGATGTTAGATTTCTCAGTTAGCCAAACGACTTTGACTTCTATTGCATACAAGATAAAATTTCAACCAATCGAAGTTCAAAGTTGGTTTTGAAAATACATGTTTCACTCTATCCTTAATACTCCGATATAGACGTCAAAAGCGGTTGAGTATAATGTCACTGTATATCTGTCTCTGTCTTTTGCATGTATAAATCAATGTGCGATAGAGACGACAACATAACACCAATTATTTTTTCTTTATTAATGAACTTCTATAAATCATAGTTAGATGAGATAAGATGTTTATGTTGGAGCATCTGCAAGTACTTAGTGCTTTTAAACTTGTAGCAAATAAATTAATTATGTTTTACGGCTTAATGACGCAATAGTTTCTTTTCGCCCTAGGAGCTCATAGTCTGAGCTAGCGCAACGCTCATTGCGTCATTTGTCATGTAATGCTACGCATGAATATAAGCCCCCAGCGTGGCTCGTAATTAGTCGGGTTACCTCGTCAACAGTTTTGTAAAAGATAATTAATTATAGCAAATATTTAGCCAATTTTATTTATAAAAAGCACGGCTTCAGAACAAAGTTCAGCCTATACCACAAAAGAAGTTAGTTTAGTTTGCATTCCTGCTCTCATTAAAATACTACACCGATCTAACGGGTCATATAGCTGAATATTTACACTATATTTATAGTTATGTGATGTCAAACATCGTAACAGTAATTATGATTAACACTCGCATACTTATGACAAATATTAGAACTTAAAAATATCGGTTAATTCATTAACACATTGTTTATCATTCATTCCACCTTTATGTTAAGATCAACACTAAATACGATTATCGATATTAAAAATCGATTCTTTTTGTAACCCGAGTATCGATATTTTAACTCATTTTATATTCGATAATTGTGTCAATTGAAGAAAGTGTCACAACTTTTAACCTTTTGAATGCCAATATGAGACACAATAGAAAATACATTGTGTTTCGCGTGGATCTACGTCTTAGACATACGAAAGGTTCAATTTCAGTAACAATATTTTGTAAACATATCATTAGGTCAATTAATATCCAAGAAATCGTTCATAGCACTAATATTTTAATGTACTTACTATCGGCAAAGTTTACGGTAGTACACTTTTTAAACAAAATCTTGTTTGAACTCGCTGTCCATCGCTCTGTTTTCCCTATGGTCGCTCGCGTCGAGTGCATGCGAATATCGCCTAAGAATGGTCGACCGCCAACTTTGTTGATTGTACCGTCAACATAATTTTTGTAGAAAAAAAAATATGCACAACTTATTATTATTATTAGTCTGTCGGGTTCAACTCCCGGCTCCGGCAAAGTATTTCTGGGTTTTAAAAAAAACTCAGTTGTAGTACGGAGTCTGGAATTGTGCCCGGTATATGGCAATAGGCTCACCGCTCAGCCCCTACATGGGCCTCATAACATAAATAGTAAAAAGTGGGTGTTACATTGTACAGTAGCATAATCTGCACCTCTGCTTACCCCTTTGGGGATAAAAGGCGTGATGTTATGTTATGTTATTAAGTATTTTTATATAATATTAGGAGAATGCATTACAACGCTGATTTGGCGTCAGTGCGTGCCAAAGACGTACTTTCTTTTTTCTTTTTAACGCAATGCTGTTTCATTTCGTAACTATTATCTACCTTTATGTTAAAATATTCATATTACAAATTTTGCACAGCAAAAGTAAATGCTCAAAAATGTAAATGTAATCGTTACTTATTATTTAATTTTGGAAAGTGGTTCATTTAATAGTTAATTTCATTCATACACAGGGCCGTAATTAGTCTCTACTTTATATTACTTAGATAATATTATAATCTGTATTAAAAAAAATATTTATTACAGATTATAAATGTTATAAGTACGGCCCTGCTCACTATAATCATTCCAAACGTAGCATGCTTAACGAATATTAACAAATAATGTATTTACTCACTTAGTTTAGGGTTTCAAAGAGTTCAACTGTGCGCATTCAGCAGTATTCAATATGTGATGTCCTTATTACAAACAATAACACTTTATTATGATGTTATTTTATGTTAAACCTAGATACTTATGAAATACACTTATAATCAATTCGTGTTATTTTCATTTATTTATAATGTATTTACATAAGCTTAAGATTAAATCAATTTTGTTATCATTTTGGAATCTCTATCAGTTCTCATTATTACATGTCTAAGTACCAGTTATGTTCATTTTTAATAGAGAAATCCATTCGTAACTTTGAAAGCACGTTGATTTACTGTGATTATAAATGCGAAGTAAATGTAAATAAAATTATAATGTATATGACGTAGGTACCTATTTTTTTAGCGACGGCAAATAAATTTTATAACAATTTATGGTTTTTTACTTACTTAATTCCCATCACTCGTATTGAAAATTTGCATGAAATTATACTTAAAATAAATTTGAAAAATGGATCCCTGTGAGGCTGTGAGTAGTGTTAGTTTTTTGTTGTTGATCATAATTGCTTAAAATCGACTCCGAGAAAATTATAACTTGCAGCGAGAGTTAATACCAAAGTAAAAAGCAAGAATCATAATTTTTGTTCCATTGCGTTTTGAGTTCGAATGTAAGTATGTGTGATCGCTATCAGATGCAGCAGTGGATAGAAAAAGCCATTTTGGGTTTCAGTTTTTGTTATTTTTGGGTGCTGGCGAAATGTATGAGCAATCTCGTCACTATCAGTGAGGCATCCGCCCGTGGCCCATCACATAATTACAGAGTCGGGAGGACCGGGCGTCAATACTAATATTTGCTTACGCCCCGAAGTGAGGCTGCGCTCGGGATGCGAGTGTTTATCTTATAACGAGGTGTGCCTCGTGTATAATCATGACAGTCGTCAATTTTCGTATGATTGCAGCGATTGGGGCAGGTGCCACATTCTGTTCTGCACACAATCGTGTCCGACCACAAACTTAGAATACAAACGTGACGGTGGTTTTATTAAGGAAAATTACAGGTCTCGTTACTAAGGGGAAAAAACTATTTGGCGGTTTTTTACCACATTGTCTCAAAGTAATCACCGAAAGTAACCGTTAAAAAATGGGCCCTTAAAACATTTCTTGTGGGACGTCGTAAACTGTGTAAATAAAGAGTTGCCAACAAAGACGCGGTTATTGGCAAACCCTTGCAATTAACTGTTAACAAAGTATTATTGTAAAGCGCGTGTTTGCCAACATTTCGGTATATTGTTCTTTTGTCGATTTCGCTTCAACCCGTCAATTTCGGTGTGCGAATGGCCGAAAGGACGTTGACGGTCGATCTGCGATAAAGTTAAAGAAAAAGTTTACGAGCCGCCAAAGGCGGGTAACGCGAATGCATGGAACAAAGCATCATGGCCAATGAGTTTATGGCGGTGTGGGCTGTTTAACTATATTTTTTTGTTGTGGACTTACAAACAATAGGTAGTTGCGTCTTGGGACTCGGTTGGGGGTGATAGTCTAACGGTTCTATTATGGGTTGTTTGTAGTTAGTGTTTGTATCAGTTTTTACGTTGTTTATAAAAGCCGCTACGCTTTGATGACCATGCAGCGCGTGTCGGGGTGATAATATTAATCTTTTTTCCATAATGCCTTGGTATGAGTAGTTAATTAGGCGTTAGGACAGGAGAAACATTCTGTTATAATAGTTGTACGATTTGTTAAACGCAAACCCTTGCCTAAAGACTCAAGTAGAAGTTAAAGCGAAATAATACCTAAGGACCGGCGTCTCTTAAGTATCGCAAGTGTACCTACCTATTTTCTGACGTAGAAGTTTCATTATTATCTCTTGGCTAGGCACTTGTAACTGTGATTATACAGTGATTGCGTCATTGGGTACCTACTTTAAAGACATCATGAATTTAAGTTTTCACACAAAATATGTTTTTTTTCAGGTAAACGTGTGTTTTTTTTCTTATGTTATGCCATATCGTGACTCCACGTCACGTGCTCTATCTGCTTAAGCTTATACAATTGTTATTGGATTAGGATATATCATGACTGATATCTCTATAGCACGATGTAGGTGTAGATTTACTTTTTTGAAATTATTCTATCTTGCTCATACATTAAATCACATTCCCTGGTAATTGGGCACCTATTTAATTTATATCAATCGAAGAAGCCAAGCCAGTTCTACCTAACTACACGAACAACAAACAAACGCATCGCCCGATTCGCTTCGCTGGTAAATTAAAGCGTACGAAACGAGATTTTCTACAGAAAAGTAATTACAGCGCGGTCTCAAAAAGCGGTTTTGGTTTCGGTAGCAATAAAACTTGCGTTGTCAGTGACAAAAGGGTTTGTTTTTAGGCTTTGCTGTCCTTCTTCGAACAGCGGGAGCCTCGAACAAATAAACGGTATACGAACGTAGCGTGTCGGAGCAGAGACGCGGAGATAATAACGCGTCGTCTGACATAATAGGCGGGACATCTAAAGACGAAAGCTCATAATGAGCCCGTACCGACTTCTCGTGCGCAGAATGGCCACAAAATGTCACTGAGATAGTTTTATTTAAATCAGAAAGTGGTACGTCATTCGCTTTTGTTTGTTGAGACTCGAGTCGCACCGTACTAAATCTGTTTTATGATTTTTTGAAAAGTTCTCGGTTTTTAGTAAAGGTAGGGTCACATTATTGTAACTTAGCTGGTTTGTGTCGTTAGTGGGTTTTGTGTGTTACTGCTTATCAAAGAGAGACATTAATAGAGACAATATTATGCTTAGAAAAAGTAATGGCGTTGGTTTGCGTGAGCGGCTTTTTGCGCAAACAAAATATGTAGGTATTCCACATCATTTATTTTATATCTTCAGGTGGCTCAAACGAAAGTAGAGTACCTACTCCGTCGCTGAGTAAAGAAGCCTTCACTCTTAAGATGCTCATCTTAAATGTTAAGTAAGAACGTTTAGTTTAATCTTAAAACTTGAGAAATACGTAAATATTTCTCCGTTAAAGGAAGACCTCATTTCCTTAATCTGTCAAACACCAAGCGGTCACCGGTGACCGCGACCTATTGTTCTTTAATTGTGTCTATAAAACCGGTACTCGACGAGTTAAATGACCATTTAAAGTATTTAAAGTCAGGAATCCTGAAATTTGCGTTTGCATGTTACGTAAATACGTGTCACGAACTAGGTCGGGTTTTCGTTTAAGGTGTAACTCCATAAGTGACGAGTCTTAGAGTTTTTTGCATATAAAGCGAATTTTTAGTAAAATGAAAATGTTACGGTAATGTTTTGAAATAATTGTATTGAAAACCAAACTGTATTGTGTAACGGTACCTACTGCCAGCCTAATAAAAAATTAGAGCAACCAGTACAAAAGAAAACAGCAAACTAGGAATATTCTATTTTTAAAACTCATAAAAATTAGTAAAATAGAGCAGGACCTTTGTCTAAAAAAGGTTTTATGGTGGCGCGGAGCTGCAGTAAAACGATGCTGTTGTTAAAAAAATATGTGGACCGTTAATTGTAACAGTTTGTTATTTATTTTACTTCCGAAAATACCGCAACGTTACAATTTGAAAAGTCACTGTTATTTTCTGAGAATATTTGTAATAAAAATTGGACAACGTTATTTGCATTTTGACATTTTAGGAAGATGAATGTGTCCTATGGCCTCACTGTTTTAAATTTTTACTCTCATGATATAAATATAGATACGAAGGTGAGGCAAGACTGTAAAGAGGCTCAGTACTACTTATGCCTAAATTAGGATGTAGTTCCACTAAATAGGTGTTGGAATGAAATCTCGGGAATGTGCAGCGAACGAAACAGGTAGATACTATCCATCAGCTTTTCTAGAAATAGGGAAACATTTCAAATATTTTAATGAGTCCGTCTAATGGTATTATGCACAACTTCAGATCGCTACCGGTTTTAAGATGATCCCAAATTAAGTAAAGCGTGCATGTTATTTACGATATGCGTGCATGTTTACTTTTTCTCGTAAAATTTTCAGTTGGATCGAAGTTGGATCTTGAATGTGGATTACGTCGCCATGATTGCCTCTCATAAATACACGAACAACTTTCAAATGTGACATCAAATATCATGCTAATGGATAATATCGTTCTTGGCAGATTGTCTAGAGTTCTAAACACAATGTTCATAAGGATATTTTCACACTTTGTACTTGTACTTACTTACCTTGTACAGCAATGCCATTTGATTTCGAGATAGAAACAGCATCAATGGATATGGATAGAATGAATATAAATAATTATATAGGTAACCTTTACAAAAAAAATATACAAAAAAGAACCTTAGACATTTTCTTGCTAATAAATGTCATCAATACCTGTTCGATGAGATCAACCAACATTTTGTACCGACTGCCTACTAATCAGTGTGTCACGTGCGTGCAGTGTGCACTACGCGTTATGTGTGTAGCGTAGGTGAGTACCTGTCCTTACATCACATCGTGGCTGACATTTCTCAAACCCTAATTAGTTGCGTTCGGTAACAATAGATGATTTGAATAGATCTCAGGCATGTAGGACAATGCTAGCGGGTGGGCCAGCCCAACCTTTGCATATGCTAAACAGAGGCTGTATCGTCGGCGGACGCTTTGAAGTCGGTCGGTAGACGCGAACAAATTTATGCTCAGTGTCAATACATTAGAGGAGAGCGGCGCGACGCGACTGATGTCAGACCCGGCTGTTTGAATAATAAGTGCGCGGCTCCATTGTGCCGTAGTGTGACCCGCCACTGATAACACTACCAGAGACTGATCTTCACTTTTCAGCTATTTTTATCAAAATCATAAAGATTGATTTTGTTATCTGTTGATATTGAAGATAGATGAGGCAGATTAGATTGTCTGTCAAAGATTATCCACCTTTCGAGTATAATCAAGTCATCAAGTATTGCAACCAAAGCTGAAATTCAGTCATTATACCTAACTTGAAAATATTTAAACGCGACCGAGCGAGACGAGCGAGCTTATATTATTTGCACGTAAGAAAAAGTTCAACACTGATGAAGCTGAAAATTATTCCTCGCATAATGAAGGTTTTACTTTCAATCGTCTTTTTTAAATTCCTAACATAAACAATCAAAAAGAGTGATGACATCATTAACATAAGCCACTAATCTCGTTGGAAAAAGAAACAAAACGTGACGTAGGATAATGGAGCTTGGTGTAATGATGCGGAGGCACGCGAGACGCCTTGCGCCGCGCCCGCGCCTCGTGGACCGCGCGCGTGCCGGCCGCAGCCGCGCGGTCCAAGCGACGCGCGACCGACTGCAGCTCAGTCGCGCGACGAACGCGATACCGTGCACACGTACCACACGCTCCCCCAATAATGCAGTGATTGCTCACGAACACGTTAGCTATTTGGATGTTTATAAAGTGAAGTGTTAATTAGTAACTATGGTGACGGGTATTGCCGGCAGCCCTCAGCAGGCCGCCTCCAACCCAGTGGTGGTGAATATGAGCCCTGCAGCGCAGGTTGAACAGAAAAAAAGTGGTGATAATAGAAGGGTAAGTTTTATTTTTGTTTATTAATCCTTAGTGATTATGATGGTGAATATTTTTTCCTGAATTTCATTCGTATTTTGAAACGAAAATTAGGTTTATGTTTGTTACCTGTAATCTGTAACGCTGTTATTAAAGAAAGACATCAACGCGTTGATTAAAATGATATTTTTTTTTTCTATAAAAATTATTGTATTTTTTCGAGTTATTCACTTTTATTAGTAATTAAATCAGACATTTTGGACACTTTTCAGCATGTAGACATTCTATGTAAGCACACCAACTGAAAAGCCAATGTCTGGAAAGAATAAATAAACGTTTAAAATTATTTTAACGAAAATATGTTATGATGTTTTTATTCTAGTATACATTAAATTTCAGGTTTAGAGTAAGTTAAAATAGTTTAAAGTCCAAATAACTACAGAATGTAATACAGTAGTACACTGTGCGGTGTAGCCTGCGGGCTACGGCGTAGGAGTTTCGTAGACCTTTTCGTAGTCAAAGTTGCGACGTACTTTACATAAACGGTGAACTGTGAACTGTGAATTTTCCTACCCTCTACATAAACTGATTTAGTTTAGTTATACAGAAATTGCTATATTAATAAGCATAGTTTCTTTTCTTTACAATAAAGAACGCATATCTAAGACAAAACCAAATATTATCCGAACATAATTTTTACAAAAATAACCAAATATTATTCGACCACATATTTTTACATGTATAACTAAAATATTTCATTTCTTACTTAATCCTTGGTTGTGACAAGAGTCGTGAAGGCAATATTACCTACCTACACGGTCACTTAGAAGGTGGGTAGGGACACATGATGCGCACGCGCACATTTAGCGAGACGATGCGACTTGACACAGTTGTCACGATTCTGTGGTAACTTGTGACTCGCAAATCATTGAGTCTACTTGTTCAGACATGTCTTACATTCGTGAGGAAATTTTATGGAAAATAATTTGAATAGAGAATCTGTTATTTAAGGTTATTCTTTTACATTGGACCTATTTAACCGCTTGAATATGAGACAATAGAAAATGCATTGTGTCTCGCGTGGATTTAGACACACGACGGACTTATTCATGTTAAACAGATCCAGAATGAAGAAAGAGGTTACAATAGAGTTTCTTACTCATTCTTCGCGAAAAATATGCATTTTAGAACGAGTAGATACATTCATTAGGGAACGAAATATCTTTTTATCTTTATACTAGATAACTACAAATTTGAGACTGTTTTTTATATCGAGTAGGAAGCGTAATGGTTCTGCTTGTAGAACAAAGATATTTTTTATGTTGGCGATTGCATTGGTACTGTTGGTATAAGTGAATAGTAGATACCTACGTTTAGTTAAGGAGTTAGGCTTAACTTATGGAGTCCTAAAATGAGTAAGTGGGCATCATGCCTTAAGCATTTTCTGCCAATCAAGGTGATGCTGAGATGAATATTAGCGTAATATAGCATCACGCCTTATAAATCCCCTGAGGCGTAGGTAGGCAGCGGTGTACATGACATATTATGTAGGTATGTACAATGTATATGTAACACCTACTTTTTAATACTTTTTACAGGTCTCATGTTAAAGAGGATGGACACAGTTCCAGACTCTTTGCTATTATCAAAAATTAAAAAAATATTAGTAGGTTTAAATATCGAATTAAAGCGTTCCCATATACTTTCATCACGCTGAAAATAATTTCAAAGACGATTCTAATTCTCTCCTTCCTGTAGTTCTAAGATAAATAAGTACCCATGTTTGTATTAGATAGGTACTCGTATTTATCAAACCCGGTGTTTTACGCATTACAATTACTATTTACAATGTGATATTTATAGAAAGCAATCTTTGTTTAGTATCTTACAGTAGTCTGAAGATGATATTTTAAATAGTTTGAGTAAATATATATGAGGCCCCCAAGATTTAGGGAGTTACAGTACCAGTAGAGTAATTTTTTCATCTGATGGATGGAGGGGTTTTTTAAGGGGGGAAAAGCATCCAATGAGTTCTTCCACCTTAGGTGAGGCAAGAGGGAGTGTCAGACTTTTACTGACTAAAAACCAATTTGTTCCTAATTCTAGTTGGAACCGAAGCCCCGGTAACCCGTTAGATTGTCCGCAGCTCCGGACATTTTACCACCGGATGGAGGTTTAGGGTCGACTTTTCGGACGGGTAGCCTTATTTTATTTGTATAAAGATTATATTCATTAGGGAACGATGCTGTTTTCATAATATTACGCATAAAAGAAAACCGTTCTGAGTTAGTTTTGTAGCGAATTTGCGCCGTTTGTCACTTCAGACGTTTTCAGGAAAACCCGTGACGCGTGTCGCTGAATAAATACGAAACGAATTTCAGCGTGTGTGGTGAAACATTACAAATTTCTTAGGTATGCGATAGAATTTGTAACTCTGGTCAATTACAAATTGTTTGAAATCGAGTTGAAAATTCATTAAACGGCGAGTGTGAACTGTGAATGATGCCAAGAATTTGCCGTTTCGCATTCATGAATTTACATACAAATACATAGAACCATTCATATGAGTTTGATGTAAATCAGATTTAGAAACACTTTATTTTAACAATAAACACGTTATTCTTTGGTTTGCGTTTGATAATAACCAGGAATGTTAAATGGAAAACATTTTATCGACTGTAGAACACTCACAAACAGATTCATTGTTTTTCTTTACCTACGTTAGTTTCAACCAAAACAAGATCGTGGTTTTTCTACACGATGATACTTTTAATTGACCTTTAAACGGTGCGAACATTTTCCCACGCAACGCGTTGTCGGCATGGAGCGGTTAATCCTACGCGAGCAAGTTAACACCAAATAATGCAGCACTCAGTCGCGCGGCGCCACCCACATCGCATCCCTGTTATCTTGCCAGCCACTCGAACCGACTTAGTGGCTGCTAGGGTTATCACCCGCTTATACAGAGTCTAATATATCGCTTACTATCGAAGGTTAGGTGTTGTGCTATGCACTATCATTAACACTCTTGATAGCGCATTGACTTGATTGACGGAATGGAGTGCATGTTTTAAGCACATATTGCACCATGTCTGCTTGATGTTTCGACCAGGTTGCGCTAATTTATTGTTAGACCAAATGTGAAAGACTTTCTATGATCGAACGAAGGTCGTATTGTCACGTTTCTTGTTTCCTTAGTGCCATGCATTGATACAATGGAATGGACTACATTTATTTGTATTCAATGGTTACTAACACAAAGTCTTGTTTTGCTCAATATCTGTTTTCGTCCAGCATCACAAACTTTAAACATTACATCATTACATTCTAAAGCAGTGTATATTCAGTAGCTTTTCCAATCCATTTGACATGTTTACAGTGACCAATGTGGACAGTAAATACATTCTTTTTGGTGCCAAAATTCATAAATTGTGTGATTATCGGAGTCAGCCCTCCGTGCCGTCCAGACAGTAGGAGCGTGACTCAGTGGAGGCGTGGGCGTGCGCGTGGGTGCCGCGCTGTGGGCTAATTGTCGTGGGAACGTCCCCCCTCCTCCCAACCTACCAGGACGCTAGAATGCGTCATAGGATAGCATAATGAATGAGATGCCGCCCCAGACCTGTCAGCGTTGTGTTTTTATGACTGTCGCGCTAGAAGCAGACACATTTTATAGACACGTTTATCTGAAAAAATATCTGGTATTTGTAATGGTTTTTATACTTAGACTATTCAATGTGATATAATATGAGAACTTTTTATTATGGGCTATGAGACTATTTCACAGCTTCGTTATTTCTTTGAGGCGTGATTACTCCGCCTATCACACGCTAAATGTCAGATGAGATGATACTATTGGAAAGGCAACCTCTCCCCCATCAGCCATCCGATCTATCATACAATTGGTACGTACCCATATTAATCACGCTACAAGACACGTAACAGACAGTAGATGGATGCTGACGCGTAATTACACGCGTCTCGCGTCTCTTGCGACCGGGGGAAGCTATTAGGCAGCCAGCAATCCATCATGTGATGATAAACATCATGGCTGCCGTGAGATAAGCCGTCGGCGCGTCGCGTGTGACCGGCCTAACGCCCACGCGTCCACAATGCCGTCCGATACCGCCTACAGCGACCTACCGACGCTAGATAAGGCGCGATTGTATTGTACCCGTGCCCGTACCGTGGGCTTGTAATATGCTTCAATAAAGAAAAATGTTCCGTATTATCATCATTAGTGATGCTAGATTTTTTATCTCCAATCTATAGGCATTCTGAATCTACAAGAAAAAAGAAGTGGTCTCGTTATTTACGGTGTAGTCTCGAAGTAAATATTTCTCTAATAGATCGTCATAACACGTCTAGCTACTCAAAACAAAAAGCTGTGGGTACTGGCACATCTAGACGTCTGGCGAACTATTATAGTGTGGCGGAAGTTCGGCGTCCGCTCCCACGCATTGGCACGCGACGCGGCACCGCGGCCGGCGCGTGGCTGCCAAGCGCATGCCAGCGGCCGCCCGCTGCCCACTACCAAACCGTGCCAAGTCGCCAACTAAACCGCGCCACCGCTAACACAGAAGGTGAATTCACCTCAGAGTGAAAAGTTTCTAACTGCAGATAGGCCTAAGCGATATTAAACTGTATATAAACATACGTGCCAGTAGATTGTTACTCATCCCGTTATTTGCCTTAAGGTTTGTGAACAATGCTTCTGTTTCCACGAATCCACTAATGAACACTTCTTCATTTAATCTGTCAAACACCAAGCGGTCACCGGTGACCGCGACCTATTGTTCTTTAATTGTGTCTATAAAACCGGTACTCGACGAGTTAATAATAATATGAACATATTTAACATAACTATACAGCCTTTACACATTGCTACGACGATTTGCTTCCACATACAAGACACACTCACATTATTAATTTACACAAGTTAAGTCTCTGTTGAGCTATTTACTCCTCCATACACTTTCCTGACAAAATGCCATAAATCTTACAGATATTGGTCATACATAACATATGACTGTATATTTGACTAAGTTCTTCGATGCGCAATGCGTCAAACTGAGAACATGAATCAGACGATGTTATCTCATTAAGCATCTTGGTTCACGAACAAAGCTCCTCCAACAATGCCGACGGAGATATGTATAATGTTATGCGCAGATTAAACGATTTATCTTTGAGAGAAGGTCGGCGCGGGCGGCGGCGCGTCGTGGCGTCGCGTAGCTCCGTCGCATCGCTATTTATCGCATGCATTAGTACCGAGCTGTCAAACGTGCAGATTTAGGCGATACGAAATACGAATGTGTAATGACCACTGGGCGACTGCCAGACAGCGAAATAGTCGTCTGCTCCAGGGGTACTCAACCTGCTGTCCGGGCATCGCAAACACTTCAGACGGATTCAAGTGGTGCTTAATGAGGTTCAGTAGCATTCTCAAAGCTGAGGTTGAAAGGGGCGGTTCTTTTTCGTTATTTAACTTCGCTCCGCTTTCGCTTTAGTTCTTATGTGACATGAATTCAACCTGTAGAAAAAAGTTGATGATTCCTGTTTGTAAGAGCGCCAATGACATGGTACGCTATGTAACCAGGGTGCATCGCGTGACTCAGTCACTTCTAGTAAATGTATATTGACGACTAGATCACGTCTCTCCCGTTCTGCGTTAATATCAATTGTGACTATCACTTGGAATTTTGTAACTGGCTACTGTAACGTTAATTGTCACATTTATAAGAGTTGTGGACATTGATGCAGAAGTACCAAATTGCTATCGTTGTTTCAAAATGTTTTCTAATCACATTTGTTTCGGAGTCTAATTAAAAAAAAAACAAATCCGATCTGACATTGCTAAGGTTTCAAGTTTCTGTATTATTGTCTTGATTTTGTCTAAGTCTTGCTCTGGAATAATATTTTATCATAGACATCCATATCCTATATGGGTTGGATACGAATCTTGTAAAACTCGACCAAAGGTCTTACAAAATAAGGTGCACTTTTGCAAACATCCAAAATTCTGTCTAACATCACGAGAAAAATATGGTCACGAATACCGGAACGCAGTCGGTACGTCTCAGTCGGTTGTAGACAGTTGATAACCCTGGCACGTGTGCGCGGCGCCCTGCGACTTGCGACTAAATCCATTCCGCATGTCGGGCCAAACGTTACGTAAAATGTATTGACGGACATTACAGAAGTTCCACTGGACATTTGTGTGTAAGAAATAAGACGAATATTTCAGAAATCTTGTATTTATTTCGTAACATGAATGGGCACAAAGGAGAGGTAAAGATGACCTACTTACGTAAAATATGCCGTTTGTCGGCGCATGGTAACTTAGATTCGAGTTTCTTAAAAAGTCTACAGTTTTCCTACAGAAAAATATTGCTTCTATCTTACATTATTTGTAGTTGATTGATTTTGAGTGACCTCGCAACAATCAATCTTATCTAAATAATGCGACTTATGACAAAAACACGGCGGAACTTCATTGCAAATGAACATTGAAAAGCATTCAGTAGATTGTGACCGACAGTCGATCCAACACCTACAATGATGCAAGGCCTCGTGGAAATCACTCTATCACTCGTGTGGGTGGTTATCGATTAATTAAAATGGCGTGTTCGAATAAACATGGCTTATCGAGCACCTGTTATCGAAGACTATCAGCTGATGGTATCGAGTCAACACTTACGTGAGACGGGGCAGGGTCGTGGGTGCGTGACTGATAACGTGCGGACCCACCAGATAACGTTCTTTTTTGTTTTAGGTCATTGGCACACTGATACTTCGGTACAATCCCTAATCAGTTTAGTGTAATTAGGAAACATGGTTCTCTACACTTACATTAACATACTGGTGGCAGGCAAAAGTTTTCGAAATATAGATACCAAATAAGAATAACATAATTTGAAGAACGGATGAGCAAATAGCAATTAATTGGACGAAAAGATTCCGAACTTCGATGAAAATCAACCGTAGGTATTCTCAGTAGCCTAACCAAGACAATTAGACCATGGAGTTTGTTCTGAACTCCTCTAACAAGGCAGTTAATATATGTCGGAAAGTAAAAATATGACCAGCACGCTGTACAGAGAATATTCAAATAAGCGTCTTGTTATTGGCATCTTGTAAAGCGATTGTAATATTGTAAACGAGTAACAAACGTCGTGTTTCTTTTGACTCGGCTGACAGGTATTTTGTTAGCGCTTAATATATTCAGAAATACGCGATAATTGAAATGGCTCGGCAGTAAAATGGGTAGGTGTATAGGCGTACTCGTGGCGTATGTGTCCGTGTAGGTATATGCTTACGCTATACTAGTGTTGTATGTTGTATGTGTGTCTGTGCTCGCTATATCGGGCGCCGCGACGCCGCAGGGCGCCCGCCACGTGCCACCTCCGCGTCTGACGACTTTCTGTCTTTACGATCTGCGGAAAACTATACGAGCTCGTGTTTCGCTATACCTACATTTTCTCTTTCATGTTTTTAATACGTGTTAAAATTGTACCACGAATAAAATATTTAATATTTATTATATTTTAAAACATTTACGATGTTCTTTTATAACATGTAGATAGATAGGAACATATGAGACGGTTTACAGATTTTTTCTTATTTTGCAATTAGTTGTGATTTAATTAAATTTTATTACCTACTTGTACATACGACTTGTAGTTGATCATTTCAGTAAATTTAATTTTTTATTTTAACTTCAGCTCGTACTTGATGAGCTGAAGTTAACTGCTACTAACTAGGTAATGCTATTAGCGAAAAACATGGTTGTGTATAGAAAAGAGGATATTATTATGATATAAAGATACACCATAAAAAGGAAAAAAACGAAGATATATACTATATTCTATCCAAATAAAGCAGTTAATTATTTTTATGTAAGTTTAGGCCATTAAGTACGAGGGCTGTTATCCTCGACTACGGAAGTGGTGTCTCGTGCGGAAGGCGTCGACAACTTCCCGCCCCCGGGCATACGCCTGTATCGTGTTCTATGCCTCATTTGTATGAGAATATTACCAGTAGCCCGTCAGTCTGATATTGGCGTATCGGTCAGACGTTGGCAAGATCTAATTTTGAACACGTAACCGTGACGTTAGTCTAGTTCACAGAAGCCGTGTTAACATTTAATGTGCTAACGAAACGAGTGCGTAGCAGATCAAATGTGATAGACGAGCTGCCCACAATTTATCGGACGTGCAGACACGCCATGTGCCAATTTTTAGAATTTTCATAAAAAATAATTTGATCTTACGCTTTGGTATCGCGCCAAGCACCGATAAATACCGCCCCAGTAGGTATGTCGCTCGCAGGCAAAGAGCGCAGCCAGTTATCACGACAATGTTAACAAAGACATGGCATCGGTGTGTTACATATTAGTAACGTTCGTTTGATCGTCACGTGGTCCCGCCACGCGTGATTCAGCGTCACGGCGCGCGCGCAGCCAATCACGACACGGACGACCTTCACCTTGAGGCAGTCGCACGCGCCGTCACCGGCGTGTAACCAGAGATTAATGGCTCTTTTTGTCACGCGCCTTACTTGGTGTCACTCGGCGATAAAGCGATAACAATGTTGTTTATATACAGCATAAATAAAACTACAATACACGTACCACGGGCTCGCATGACTGATTATGTGTATTAGCACTGATTTATGTAAATATTGTCCGCTTGGATACCGACTGACATGCGTCGCGTGAGAAAAAAAATGTTGATATGTTTGGTCCGCGAATAATCGTTTAAGTAAAGTTGCGCCTGCGTGCTAGACTTTAGCCTTAACCTTGCGTGTAACATTTAGTTGTTACACGTGCTGCTAATGGATGCAAATGCGCGCGTTGACGCAAGCCGCAAGGATACCTGTTTATTATCAACTAAATATATTAGGTACACTGTGCGATGTATTATGGCATATTTTAACATAATATTTGGTTTGTTACAGAGCAACAAGCCGATTATGGAAAAGCGGCGGCGGGCGCGCATCAACAACTGCCTAAACGAACTGAAGGCGTTAATTTTAGACGCTATGAAGAAAGACGTAAGTAGACAACCTGATGAGTTTTGCAAATATTTACATAGAATCGAGGATGGGCCGTCTAGACATATTATATTTTCTCAAATAATATCTTGAATAATTGAGCGTACAAGTACCTCCTAACATTTTATTATAAATATTTCCACCTGATGATTATGGTTGCTTATTCAAAGACACGGATCTTATGCAAAGATCAAATATTGTCTAAGAATATAGGCTTTAACCGATTGCTTTTCCTTGTTACAGCCGGCTAGGCATGCTAAGTTAGAGAAGGCTGACATCTTAGAGATGACTGTAAAGCATTTAGAAGGCCTGCGGTCTGAAGGGGCTGGGTCGCCAGACCGATTCCGTGCGGGATACAGGCACTGTGTGACTGAAGTGTCTAAGTTCCAAGGAATAGAGCCGGCCCTGAAAAGAAGGTTGGTGAGGCACCTTGAAGGTTGCGTCAATGCTGCAGGTGCCAGGCCAGCTGGAGCTCCCACGCCTCCGTCTGACACTGAAGATGCTCCTCAAACTCAACATTCTACTATTTTTATATCTGGTAAGTTTCCTACACTTCCCTTTTGATATCTTACTAACTGTATACAACTTTCTTGATATTTTAAATTTCCCTTTGATTTTACTAACTGATGCCTTTTATTTCAGCTGGTCCCGGATCAGGCGTGCGCCTAGTGCCCACAAGATTGTCTAACGGCGACATCGCGCTTGTGCTACCAGCTGGTGTGAACGCGAGCACTTTGGGCGCGATACCAACCCTAGTACCACTGTCTCCACGAGATGCATCTTCCTCCACGTCTTCAGAGACTAGATGCTATTCCCCAGCCAGCTCTGGTTGGGGATCACCTCCTCCACCTCCTGAAGAATCAGCTCCCCTCGCACTTGTAACAAGAAAAGAGACTCCAGAAGAAAAACCTTGGAGACCATGGTGACACTCCCTTCATTCCTTACATAACACTGTGATATATTTTAGCTGTACATATAGTATGTCTCCATCGACAGAATATAGTTCCTAGTGGTAGATTAAACAGATTAAAGTAATAAATAATTTTCGCAAAGAAATAATAAAGGTACTTTTACTTGAGTTACTTGTTCGGTCAGTTCAGATTGTGTGATAGAGTTTATAAAGATAATTTTAGATGAGAGCTCGTCTTTTCCTTTCTGTTTAACGAAAGGTTTATTTAACTTTTAAGTTCTAGATAATAAGGTGTATATTCGCGGATGACATCTGAGGCAGTATTTCATTTATCATTACGTAGCGTGACGTATCGTTATACGTTATTCATTATATTAGTTCGTAAATAACTAGTGCCATTAATTAATTTCGTTCAATTTACAATGGATTAGTATGCTTAAAGCTTTTGTAAATAGGAGTTTATGCAAATATTGAGCAGTTGACGGTCAATATTTGAATGTAATCGATATGATAGGATTCTGTGTGCCTTATCCAGCAAAATCGTATAGTCTTCCATTACATAGGCGTATGAATATATAAATGTTTAACATGTATATAGCGGCAGGGATTAATTGTCGTATGATAATTGCGCTCAATATTCAGTTAGTTACGTTACCGGAATAAACCAGTAGTCATTATTGTCTTCCTTTACCAGTTACCGAACGAGGACAGTTTATTTTAAAATACAATTAGTTTTATCTTTACATTATTTGTATGAGTGACGTAGGCTTTTGTAACATAACTAAGTTAAATGCAAGTGAAATGTATTTATGTTTGCATATTATTACGATTAAAGGATGTTAGTTTATTTCGTTTGTAAACAATATTGTAACAGTTTGCCGTCTCAATGTAAATGATTAAGAGAATAAAGTGATATTACTTAAGATTGTGTTTAGCGTGTAAGCAGATGTACCTAAAAGAAATATGCCATTAATCTAGAAATAAAACTATGAATATAATGTTTCGTTTCATTTTGTGGTATAATATAAACAGTATAAAATATATTGAACCAGTCCAGCCCAGTTAATGTAAATAAATAAAAATAATAAAATAATTATTACCAGCCCAAAGTATACATGTTACTGCAGTATACAATGACAACCGCACTAGGCACAGCCTGTACCGGGGCTGTCAAAATACAGCGATTTCCTTAGGACTATTCTAATATTTAACATCATTAGAAAAAAAAAGTGAATAAGTGTGTGTAAAGTGTGTGCATGGATGTGTGCATGAGAATGTGTGTGTATGTAGACGAGAGCCGGCGTGAAAAGTATTGAGTTTCTCAATTAATACACTCTCTATTATAATATACTACTTACTATCATACCATAAGAGATTTATTTACAAATAATTCACTAATTGTGAAATATATACATCTTAAAATTGACTAAAACTAAAACAATGAATAAAAAAAGAAAAATACTAAAAAATATTAGGTACTATCAGTTAGGCGTCAAAGAATTTGTCTGCATCTCTGTAAACCATTATGTAACTTTTGAATTAGAAAAGGATAAATCTCTATATATATAAAAGAAAGTCGTGTTAGTTACACCACGTATAACTGAAGAACGGCAGAACAGATTTGGCTGAAAATTGGTAGGGAGGTAGCTTAGAGCCAGGAGACCGACATAGGATACTTTTTAACCAATACTTTTTTCTACTTTTTACCGAAAATCACGAACGGGGACGGGAAAAATGGGATTACGCGTACGAAGTCGCGGGCAGAAGCTAGTTAGAGATATGTTTAACTCGTCGAGTACCGGTTTTATAGACACAATTAAAGAACAATAGGTCGCGGTCACCGGTGACCGCTTGGTGCTTGACAGTTTAAATAGAGCTTTTGTGTAAATAGCGCCGAAATGAAAAACGATAGTTGTCGTACACAGACATCGACATATTTCAAAACTAATACCATTTGGTCTGACTCTATATCGTATTACTAATATAACCGAGTAGGTGGGTACTCGTAATCCGAGATTAGGACTAAAACAGTATTGTGTTGTAGTATAAGAGTTTATGACCTCAGTCTGGCAATGTTTTGACTACCTGCTAGTACAGAAGCCTTAGTACGAATTTGTTTTACGTTTAAAGTAATCGTAACGGGTATGCGTTCGGCACTCCTGATTGGTTGCTTCATTGGCGCCGGCTCGTGCAAACAAACTCGTACTAAGGCCTTAGGAGCCCATTTTTTTTAAGGGGGGAAAATCATCGAATGTCTGCTCCCGCCTGGGTGAGGCGGAAGGGAGTGTCAGACTCTTACTGACTGAAAACCACCCCGTTCCTTCTCCTGCACGTCGAGCCGGAGCCCCGGTTACCCGTTAGGTTCTCCGCGACCTCAGGAGTCCGTAGGTTTTGTTTAAGAAAACGTTATCTTTCAAATGGTGTTCTTAATTTAATTTTACCATTTTTACCTGCGTAATGGGTTTAGTCTTCCAGACGCTACAAGTGTGTGTGTGAGAGGTTTTGGACTACTTCACATCAATATATCAACAGCCTATTAGTGGCCACTACTGACCGACTGCCTTGCTTGCTCAATGCGGGTTAGCGATTTCAAACTTATAATTAGAAATTTTAGTCCATCACGATGTTTGATTCACCGTTTGTTAGTGATATCTAAATAATCTTAGAAAGTGCATTTAAGTCGGAAAAAGTAACATTGGTACTTGCCGTTGGTAAGTTTGCGGGCGTCGTAGACATCCGAGACACCACGACACCAATCGGATTATTTAATTAGGAATTAGAAAACCTATTACATAAGGTCCACTGATACTCCTTTGCACGATACAGAAGACAGATGTAGGTATTTTTATGTATGTATTGTTAACAAATCTGTGTTTTGAATAATTTGCGAAAACACATAATGAAATAATTCGCCCTGCCATAATGTAATTGCGAAATCGAAAGACGGACGTTCAGTTTACGACGTAGGTATGCTTACGCGGGAACCACCGCGTAGATCTCGCTCGGTGGTCGAACTAATTCGTCAAACATTCAATTATAACCGTTTGTTTGCGCTGTCCCGACACTAATGGAGGGTATTGGAGAATTATTGCACCTGCGGCTGCAATTTGCCACAATCGCCACTAATTATTCACGGAATTCTCATGCCTACGACCGCGAGCTGAGGTTTATTTTCGGTCAACGTTCACTCTATAAAACATAAGTAAAGTTTTCAAAGATGTTTTCCAACACCTTTCAGCTGTAACTCTATAGCTTTCTACATAAAAATTCGGAACGATTAACTGTTCTAAAAATAATATATGAAACTTATTGCTCATCTAAATCAATTTTACACACGAGATTTAGCGTCAAAGTATTTAAAATTTTCATATTCATGTAATTTCAAACCCGTCGATAAGAGCTTATTTAAAAATTATGACTTTATTGACAGTTGAAAGGATTAACAGATTATATTATTGTTAGTACAATATTGACCATGAAGTAAAGTGTGCTCATCACTCATAACATGGTGTGACTCGTTGAGTGTCGCACCACAACTACTTCATATAAATACATACAAGCATTTACATTATACAACTGGCATAAAACGAGTGTCATCGATTCCATAACATCGAACCTAAAGTGCGGACGCAAAGATAATAAAACTGGAAGCGACCGTCCGCGCCGTCTCCAACCCAGTACATAATTAGTAATTTAGAAAGTAGTAACACGATACTGCACTCTGTAAATATTTCACAAAGTAAAGAGGCCGGCTCATCTGAACACTTCCATTACATATCTCATTAAAATTCACAAGATGATGTGTTTACGTGTAATGTCCATAATATAAACAAACGATGAAAGTAATTGATATATGTTTTTTTACTCAATCAGAGCAACATCTGCCGAGCCACCCAAGTGGAGTCGTCCTCGGGTACTCGGCCTCTGTTACTAACTACTGTCTTGCTTATCATAATGCCGATACCCATGTAATTTTCTCCCAATACAACTCGATTTCGAATTTATTAATGAACTGCCTCATCGATTACTCGTTTAATGAGCACGAGATATAAATTTGCATTAAGATTCGCATCGAAAAGTATCGCGTAGATACAGGCGATGCTTTACGATAATGTTTGAAAAAATATTCGGTGATAAGTTGGAGAGGTATCGATGCCGTGACTTTATTGCCTATCATTCAAGTGGGAACGAGTGTAGGCATCGAGTTGCATATAAATTGAACATGTCAAGTGTTGCTGGTTGGCGCGCCCGCCTGACTGACGGCTTCTCGTTACCGAAAGGTCGTTGCTTGCTCGTCATGGATTTTTTACATCTCTTTGTATTCACATCAAGCAGAGGCCAATTAATCAGTGTTATGACGCGTGACACGACCTAATGAGCTGGGACGATGGCCGTCGTATGCAAACCAGGACATTAATACTCATTGTTATGTTCTCTCCACACACTTGATTGTAATAAGTAGTCGTGTGCAAGGCATTTAATAGAGTTTTGATTAGATTAGTGCTAACTTAAAAAACAACTTGTAAATGTGAAGTAGAAATTAGTTAATCTTTTGATAAGGGAGTTAGTTGAATTTGTATAACTAATCTCATGTTCGGTGTTATTGAAAGAACAACAGCGTAAAAGGTTAAACACAAATCAGTACAAACTGCAATAATGTTTAGTAGATTAGTTGAGAACATTAGTCTTTTTGTTGACTATCAACGGTGGTGGTACGGTGCGGTGGTCCGAACAATTCCCTTCTTATAAAACCTTTGTAGGCCCGAAACTAGGTGGTCGAATACTCGCTTGGTCGAATTTTGATCAAACTTAGGCCACCGGGTTCGAAGTATCTGCAGCATTTAGTTAGGTATTTATCGAGATAAAGCCTTAACTTTTTACAAGGCTTAATATCAATTCGAGATCAAAATCAAAGATTGTGTCGAAGACTGTTAAAAGTAAAAAGTAATTTGAAGTAAATAAAGATTTTAAGATAAAATCGTCTTGTCTTGTGTGTCGCGGAATCAGATGTCATTT